AACTGTAAACACGTATCCACAATACACGGTTTCACACAGCAAAACATTAATTGATTTGTTCGTGGCACCACAACTGCACACTCACGCATCAGCCTACCAAGAGACCCTGAATGAATATTCAGCCACTCTTTTATACTGTTGGCTCCTCCCCTATTGGAGCCAACCATTTACCAAAACCCCGGGGGAACATGAAATTTCACAGTGCTTAAGTACTGCATAAACTCGCACTAATAAACATTAAACATAAATATATACCCATAAAATACTTACCAACATCACGTAATATTCTTTCAAGACATAAATTAACTATGGACACAAAAATATTTCCCACATCACATGACACATAGTATCCTCCTTTCCGGGTGACGCCATTATTGCGGAGACGTGACAGTGCGCTATAAATAGCCCTCGATACCAACAATCACGTTTAATCTGTCTCTTTCACTCCCAGAATCAACTCATCATGAGCAGGTAAATCTATATGCACGTATATGTATGCGTGTGTATGCGATGTGAGTTTATTGTATCAAGACGATGGGTACTTTGAGTTTGAATGAACAAGTGCTATGTGTCTCGTGTGCACCCGGACCATAGCGGTAACAGAGGAGCGGCAAATTTGAATGTGTGTGTGTGTGTGTATGTCAGAGCCAGCGCCAAACTGCCGTCTGATTAGGTCTCCTTCTTTACATCCCCTTTAGATGTTTTTTTTTCTCTCTAAAGAACTGCTTATTTTTTTGTTTTTAACCTGTAGCACTTTGAGATCTTCTGATGAAAAGTGCGTTATAAATAAAATATTTTAATATTATTTTATTATTAATATGACATTCAGAAGACGTGTATTTGTGTGTGTCTCCAAAGAACAAGTTGTCTACAAGTAAAGTTTAAATGTACTAATGCATCTCAAACATTTATATTGTTCTGCTTACACACATACTGTATTATACCATCATATCTTGAGTGGCCATCTAAAACTTAAAACCACTGTATGGAGACATAGAAGACCACAGTTGTTCATTCAGGTCTGAGAAAACCAAAGTAAAGCGCAAATATTAGTCTCATATTATAATTTACTTTAAACAGATTTCCAGTTGAACTTCCTCAGCAGTTGCTGCCAGCTCATTCTCAAACGTTTTCAGGGCGATGACTGTTCTTGCCAAACTAATAATAACCCCACTAATAATAAGTGGAATTGTTTAAAGGTGGATTTTCTTTTAGTAAGCATGGAGCTCACAGGGTCAAGTTGTGTGGTTAAAGCTCTTTTTAAAGCTAATGTATACACTCAGCAGAGAAGTAAACAAAGAACTATCAAGAAAAGTTGGCTGTTTGTGTCAGGGGAAGATGTTGATAATGGAGGTTTTGTTATGTCAGCAGAAAAAGGTCATTTCTGACTGCATTGCAGATTGCAAAAAGCGTGTGCTTTTCTAATCTGTAGCACTTCATCTGACATCTCACCACACCAACACATTTGATCTGACAATGGCTAATATCCATGTGTGATTGAAGGGGGGCATGGCTAACCACATCCTGTGTGACTGCATCTGTCTGAACTATGCACAACATCTGCACAATAATTAACTGACTGTGCTGTTTTTCATAACCTCATTCAACATGCAAGGATTGTCCAGTTACTGAAATTTTGCAACATGATTAAACACCTAAACTTCACCAAAATTCAACCCACTGAGATCAGTACCACAATATATTTGTTGCGGCACAATGGTTCAGTATGTTGAATAAAAATATATATTTGTATTGAGGGGATTCATAAATATTTTATATATATATATATATATATATATATATATATATACACTCACCGGCCACTTTATTAGGTACCCCATGCTAGTAACGGGTTGGACCCCCTTTTGCCTTCAGAACTGCCTCAATTCTTCGTGGCATAGATTCAACAAGGTGCTGGAAGCATTCCTCAGGGCAGACTGATCTCATGAAATGGCGTATGTATGACACGCCAATTCGTATTTCCATTTTTGGCGTGCTATCAACACGCATAATCGCTTTTCAGCGTGTTTATCAACGCCTTTGACTTAACGTTATATTACTGTATTATGTATATATAAATATATGACCTACCCCAACCCCGTCCCTAAACCTACCCGTCACTGGGGTTAATACCATTTATGAGTCTTCTCCTACCATCCTAGGAAAAGAAATATCGCTCCACAGATGTAGATATAGATTTTGCTTCGTTTCGCTCGGAGATTTAACGGCGTACGCATACACGCGGAATCACTCGGACATTTAATGGCGTAGACATACACGCAAAAGATTTCGGCGTGGACATACACGCGGATAGCTCAAAATGCGTATAGATAACACGCCACTTGAATTGAAAGTGGCGTGTATGTTTACGCAAAGTCATGATGTCATGTTGCTCAGGGAGTTTGGTCCATATTGACATGATGGCATCACACAGTTGCCGCAGATTTGTCGGCTGCACATCCATGATGCGAATCTCCCGTTCCACCACATCCCAAAGATGCTCTATTGGATTGAGATCTGGTGACTGTGGAGGCCATTTTAGTACAGTGAACTCATTGTCATGTTCAAGAAAACCAATTTGAAATGATTCGAGCTTTGTGCCATGGTGCATTATCCTGCTGGAAGTAGCCATCAGAGGATGGGTACATGGTGGCCATAAAGGGATGGACATGGTCAGAAACAATGCTCAGGTAGGCCGTGGCATTTAAACGATGCCCAATTGGCACTAAGGGGCCTAAAGTGTGCCAAGAAAACATCCCCCACACCATTACACCACCACCACCAGCCTGCACAGTGGTAACAAGGCATGATGGATCCATGATCTCATTCTGTTTACGCCAAATTCTGACTCTAACATCTGAATGTCTCAACAGAAATCGAGACTCATCAGACCAGGCAACATTTTTCCAGTCTTCAACTGTCCAATTTTGGTGAGCTCTTGCAAATTGTAGCCTCTTTTTCCTATTTGTAGTGGAGATGAGTGGTACCCGGTGGGGTCTTCTGCTGTTGTAGCCCATCTGCCTCAAAGTTCGACGTACTGTGCGTTCAGAGATGCTCTTCTGCCCACCTTGGTTGTAACGGGTGGTTATTTGAGTCACTGTTGCCCTTCTATCAGCTCGAACCAGTCTGGCCATTCTCCTCTGACCTCTGGCATCAACAAGGCATTTCCGCCCACAGAACTGCTGCTCACTGGATGTTTTTTCTTTTTCGGACCATTCTCTGTAAACCCTAGAGATGGTTGTGCGTGAAAATCCCAGTAGATTAGCAGTTTCTGAAATACTCAGACCAGCCCTTCTGGCACCAACAATCATGCCACGTTCAAAGTCACTCAAATCACCTTTCTTCCCCATACTGATGCTCGGTTTGAACTGCAGGAGATTGTCTTGACCATGTCTACATGCCTAAATGCACTGAGTTGCCGCCATGTGATTGGCTGCTTAGAAATTAAGTGTTAACGAGCAGTTGGACAGGTGTACCTAATAAAGTGGCCGGTGAGTGTATATACATATACTGTATATGTATATATATATTATGGCAAATGTCTTTTCTCTCTTTCATTTTTTTTTAAAATGTTGTTTTAGACACCATTGACTTTCATTGCTTAGGCAAAACAGTTAAAATATCTTCTTTTGTGTAAACTTTTATGTAAACTAAAATAGAAGAAGCATTTTTAATACTGTCATACAGTTTATCTTGCTGCTAAGCCACTTGTTTTATTTGTTAAAATGGGCTATTTTTCTTACAGGAAGCTGTAAGACATCATCTAAAGCCACATTAGCATTGGCACACAGTCATTGCCTCCACTTACTTACAATGGTAAAATGAATGAATAATGAATATATGAATATATCTTGAACTAATCCACGTAAATAATTAATATTAACATTTGTTAACATTTTAGTGAACAAATGTTCACCACATGCTCAGATCACAGGCCGATGCATTCGGTCTAGCCGCAAAAGTTCAAATATTTAAACACATCCAAAATTGGTTTCAATAATTCCTCATATGCAGATTATACTGTTATACTGTATACTGCTATACTGTTCTTCACTGGAAATGAATGTAGTTCATTTGTCAGAGATAGTGAGAGAAATAATAATAATTGTATAATTAAAATTATAATCAATAATTTACATTTAGTCATTTAACAGACGCTTTTATCCGAAGCGACTTAAGTTACAACTGAGGACTAAAGCAAGCGAGTCATCGTGAAAAGGCATAAACAACGCAAGAAGTGCTCAAAATACAAAGTTCAGGCATTGCTCAGAGTAGCATAAGTCAGACAAGGGAGGATTAAAGGAAAAGGAACGATTTTTTTTGTTTTTTTTTTGAGGCTAAGTGCTCACGGAAGAGATGAGTTTTCAGCTGTCTTTTGAATGTTGTCAGAGATCCTGCATTCCGGGTGAGGGAGGGGAGATCATTCCACCAGCATGGAACCATGAATGAGAATGTTCTGGAGAGTGATTTTGTGGCTCTCTGTGATGGTCCCACGACCCGTCACTCATTGACCGATCGTAGGATTCTGGTAGGGATGTAGACTCGTAGGATCGAGTGAAAGTTCTGATGGTAGAACTGTAAGTAAGCATCAATGCCTTGAACTTGATACGAGCAGCGAGTGGTAGCCAGTGCAGTGAGATGAACAGAGGTGTGACATGGGCCCTTTTGGGCAATTGAAATGATGCAAACAGCCTTTTGATCTCTCTTGACTTTTGAATCATATTACAGCAGATGTTATAATGTCACATTACTCTATTCGTTCTACCACCTAGATAAAACACCAAAATTAACCAATACATATCACTATCAACACATCACACACTGCCAAACTGCAGTCTTCTTGCACTAAGACAACGCTCTCACATGACTGCCGTGGTTAACAAGACAGGAAGTCAGCATTTTCATGTGGGAGAAGAATATGAAATGATAAAAAAAATGGAGGAGTGTACAACAGCGTCACACTGCTGAAGGAAACAAAAGGAGGAGAACTCAGAGAAGGGAAAGAGAGTGAAGTCTGATAGAAAGATAAACAGATGTGAAAAACTTCCGACGCTCCACGAATCAGCATGTATTACTTTATTCTTAAGACTTTGATAAAGTTAGTCTAAGTTTATTGTAAAAAATAAGAGAATGCTTGGCATTTCAGTGCTTTTGAAAAAGGTACTTTGACTACAAGTATAGAAGTGCGCATAACCCGGGAGTACAGAGAAAAAAGTCAATTTAAAGGTGAGCGAAGAGGCGTCTGACCGGAGATTTGTACTGTAGCGATGGCGAACAGTAAGACGTTGACGGTAGTTGTCCTCCTAAGCATCTTTTTGGCAAGAAGTCACACAAGAGGTGAGTTTCAATTTAATTGAATTGTAATGTGATACTCTTTAGATCTTTAGGCCTATTTAGACGAGTTGGCCTTCTTAGTCTAGCTTAGTCTTGTTGGCAGATGTCACTTGACTTGATATTTTATTTCGAATTAAATTCATATTTATGTGTCCCAAAATACTTGGGTGGTGAACATTTTTGAATTGTTTAATTCAGTCAGACAAAGTATATTGAAAGTGTGAAGTTGATCAATTGGAAAAAGTCTACTTTTAGTTTCTTGAACTTAAAATGCTAAGACATTTACAGTGAACTTTTGCTTCAATGGAGCTCATAATGGATGTACACCAGAATGAGGACTCTGTTCTATCACGTGCATGTGAAGGCTTTGTGTTTGTTTCTGTATGTGTTTGTTGCTATTTTGAGAGGACATGCCATGACGAAGCGCTCTTCCTCTCAGGGGGATTCGTGGGGGGAGATGAGTGGCTGAGGTTTTTGAGGGTGACAGAAGCACCTGAAAAGAAACTAAATGTAGAACAGTAAATGTAACCATTTACTTGGAACCAAATGACATTTGTGGTGTGACTGTTTACAATAATGCCATTGAATGCCGTTGATGGAGTGGTATGGGAGTCGTTGCTTCAGGCCAGGTGTTCAAACTACGTATTCTTCAGAATTAGGGCTCGTTCCTCTTGTGCTACAGTAAAAATGTTTGTCTAATCTTTGTACAAAACTGTACACCTCTGACTAACAATAACAAGAAATATGACAAATAAATGTACTAAGCCTTCAATATCCCACACTTACTAATGTAATATAACGAAAATGAACTAGAATACCCACTTGAGTGAATTATTGTTTCCATGTGCTGAGCGCTCACATTAACCGGTTACTAACATGCTGTGCACTAACTGTCCTAGGAGAACACATATCACAACAGAATCAAGAGGATGTCATTGAAAAACTGACAGGTCAGACAATATACACTTTTATAATTGACTTTTTTCATTTATATAAATAAACTGGCACTTTTCATGAATAGGGTACAACAGAATACTCGCATAAAAGGTGAGAGAGGATCTTGACCGTAGGAACACATTGATGAACTGTTTATAGAATCACTATTTTGCGGGGGAATACACACATTAGATGTTTTTAAACTAGCTGCTTTTTATGCTGAGATAATTACTCCTCTAACATAGTTCTTAAAAAAACTGCTTCTCATGCTTTAAAAAAGTCTTGAGATGCCAAAGTGAACTCTATTGATGGAAAGTGCCAACTGTGTTACATCTATTTTCAGATAGAGCTTCTGTATGTGTTGTAACTATTTTTAGGGTTAAAAAAGGGATATGACACACCAAAGGATAAAACTAGTCTGGCATGGCTGGGAGAGATAAGTTTAGTGCAAAGTTGTGTAACACTTTACAATATTCATTAGTTAACCTTAGAACTATAACATGAACTAAGCATAATACTTCTTCAGCATTTATTGATCTTAGTTAATATCAATTTCAACATTTACTAATACGTTAATAGAATCAAAGGTTGTATTTGTTAACATTAGTTAATGCACTGTGAACTAACATTAACAAACAATGAACTGTATTTCTATTAACTAACATTAACAAAGATTAATAAATACTGCAACAAATGTATTGCTCATTGTTAGTTAATACATTAACTAATGTTAACTAATGAACCTTATTGTAAAGTGTTGCCATGTTTTAATGCATTATAATACCCATATTTTACACTCCTGGTCAAAAGTTTGAAATAAATTTTTTTTGAAATAGTTTGTGAAATAAGTCTGTTATGCTCACCAAGGCTGCATTTATTTGATTAAAAATACAGTGAAAACGGTAATGTACTACGGTAATGTTAAAATAACGTTTTTCTATTTGAATATATTTTAAATTGTAATTTACTCATGTAAAATCATTCTAATATGACGATTCATCATTTATTGATGAATACTGAATTATTAATCATGGTCCTTATTATTATTAATGTTGAAAACATAATATTTTTTTTTCCAGGATTCTTTGGTGAATAGAACATTTAAAAGCAGCATTTATTTGAAATAGAAATCTTTTGTAACATTATAAATGTCTTTACTGTCCGTTTTGATTAATATAATGCCTCCTTAAAATAACAAAAGTATTATAATTATTAATTCTTACTTTTAAGTGGTAGTGTATCACAATGTACCCAAAAATACAGCAGCACTTTTTAAAACATGTTTCTTATTAATATTGGAATAGTAGAATGATTTCTGAAGAATTGTCACATTGAATACTGGAGTAATGATGCAGAAAATTCAGCTTTGTTACAACAGTAATACATTTAAATTATATATGAAAACAGAAATATATATAAAAAAATTAATACCAATTTGTAATACAATTTCACAAAATACTATTGTTTATACTATTCTCTGTATTTTTTTAAATCAAATTAACACAGACTTGGTGAAGATAAGATACTTTTTTAACAACATTAAAAATGTTTAATTATTTCAAACTTTTGACCAGTCGTGTATATATTTGAATTATATTTTAATTTACTTGAATATTTCAATTGCAGATCATGGTTTTATTGATCTATTTAGTAAACAGATATTTTACTCTAATCCAATATTTAATCTGATTTATATAATATTTTTTTTTTCTTTCAGATTTCAAAGAGCAGATCTTTGTGGCGGGAAGCGATGTGTCTTTATGGTGTGCCAATAATGTCACTGATGTCAAATGGAATGAATTAATTTTTATTGTGTGGAACATCAGCATGCAGGGCAGAAAATGTTTTCTTGGTTTGGCACCCAAACTGGACAACACTTGTAATGATGGAAAGAGGCTATACAACACTTCAAATGAAGTTTCATTATTCATTCCCAAGATTTCAGTGGAAGATGAAGGATTTTACTATTGTGATTTATCAATAAAAGGAGGAAGCAAATCTATAAATGTCTCTGTAAGCGGTGAGTACAATTTCAAATTATTGCAACACTATTGTAAAAACTGAACATTTTAAAACACAGGTTAGGTGAAATTCCACTAACTGAACACTAACAACTGATGTTACCTTCATCCAGTGATAGATTACTTACATCTCTCTGTTTCATTGTAGTCATCATGAACCAGTGAAGAATTCAATTTGTTATACAAAAAATAGTATTTAGAATTAGCAATTAAGACAACAATATATAATGATGATATCTTACCGATATTCAAATTAAATTAAATTTCTTTGTTTTTAAGTTACCCGCCTGAAAACTCATCTGGACATTGAAAATGGTCTGAGGATTGCTGTCTGTGAGGCCACATATAAAAAGACGAAACCCACTCTTCACTGGGAACCTGCCTTGAACTTTTCCTTCAAAAACACTTCAGTCAAGAAGGTTGACACGTTTTTTATTATGGAGAATCGAGTACATCTTCCTGATGATGTGACCATCAGTAACCTCAGCTGTGTGGCGTCATACCCCTCTGTGTCCGGCCCTCTGCAACAGAAGAGCACACTGCATATTACAACACAAGGTGAACACACTTTATTTGAAAAGGAATTGACAATTGTTTTTTTTTAAGTGGATCAGTGGTTAATTCTGTTTTTGAAGTTTGACATAGCAGTGTCAGATATAAGCTTTATATGAAATGAGACATATAATGAGCAAAGAAAACAAATACATATAAATATTAGGCTTTATATAAAACAGAAATCAAGGTGTTTTACACAATACAGCATTTCAGATGTGGTAAAAATGGTCTTGACCATCATACAAATAAGAGAATTCTCATTTTATGCATGTATATACATTGTTGGACATGTTATTGGACAAATAAACCAGTCAGAGTGTAAAAAAAGTTTTTAGGAGAGTTTACTACTTTCTAGAAGTCCACAAGGTCAAATTGGCAAATATTTTGCAATGAAATATGGAGCAAATTTGACCACATTTAGTACAGTGGCTTGTATTTAAAAAAAAATCGGTTTTGACAATATTAGAGACTTTATGGAAACACTTTACAATAAAGTTTTATTTGTTAACATTAGTTTATGAATTATTTAACATGAGCTAACAATGACCAATACTTCTACAGCATTTATTACTCTTAGTTAATGCTAATTTCTCAACTAACATTAATAAAGGTTAATAAATGCTGTAATAATATTTCACTCATAGTTAGTTTGTTAACGTATGCATTATTGTAAAGTGTTACTTAACATTTTTTAACAAATGGGGGTGAAACATGTTTTTTGCTATATTGCATGTAACGTTACCACTTTATTTTACAGTGCTCTTGTTACATGTTACATGCACTTGCTATAGTAATAACAGTAAATTATGCATAATTACATGCAACTAACCTTAAACTAAACCCTAATCCTAACCCCAAATCTATAGTAAGTGCATGTTGTTACTTAATATTATTTACACTGTAACAAGGACACCTTCAAATAAAATGTACCCTGTTAACATTAATTATTATTACAAGGGAAATAATCTTCTCTCTCTTCAGGAAAAGAAACAAGAACATATAAATGGGAAATGATTGCCATATCATCTGGTTCTTTTTGTTTTATTCTTGTGTCTCTGGCCGGGGTTTACCTACTACGCAGGAAACTCAAGCACATAAGGTGGGTTGTTTTACTGCCTTGATTCACTGCTGTTGAATCACTTTGCATGGTATGATGACTAATTGATACAGAAATGTCTTATCGATATCTATTTGTCTTTGTGTTCTCTTTAGTTCATTGAAGATGCTTTGCTGCAAATCCAAAATCTCACCACCAGCTGAAGACAAACCACCCCAGGTGAGACATATCTGTCAAATCCTGTTTGTTTTGTATACTCAGTTATTCACTATGTAAGGTCCATTGTAAAAGTGCTTTGTATTGCTCACTAAAGCATATGTTTGTGTGTTTAGCCTACTGATGTGGAAGAGGTGGAACCTTATGCAAGTTATATACAGCGAGTCAATTCCATCTACAACTCCTCAGCTGAACTCTTCAATGCCTAACCGACACAACACACACTCACTTTTCATGATGAAACAGGATACCAGAAGAGCACTGAAAATTAAGAGGGCAAAGACATTTCTGTGGTTAAAATTGCACATTGAAAACAATACTAGTGGAAAAGCAGTCATCTCATGAGAGCATCCCCAAAGCAAACAGCGCCTGACTGAGGAACAAAAGTCACACCGAGTCAAATCGTGAAAGACAGTGACAGAGGAACATTTGTCTCAGTATATGATGAAGAATGACTGGGACAACTTCAGAATCAGTGATTTCACTAATATGTAGATTTGTAGACACAGTGCCTGGTTAGATATTAATCATTTGTACAAATCGTTCTTTTCACGTTTGTACATATATCTTTCCTTTCTGAGAGTAAAAGGTCAAAATCAACCCATTGTCCGCTAACAATACTAAAGTTTTTAAATATTGCACAGAATTCAAATTATGTAAATACATTTTATTATCCCTTCACATTGCAGTATTGCATATGTTCTATTTGGTCTTTGAGTTTAATACAATCAAGTCAACCTTTTAAAAAAATTCCAAATAAGTGTTTTTTTGTCATAGAAGAACCATTTGTGTGCCATTAAAAGAATGTTCCAGAGAACAATTCTTAAAAGATCCATTTTAATAATCTAAATAACATTTTTCCACTGAAACTTAAAAATAAAGGTTCTTTATTGGCATTTATGATTCCGTAAAGAACCTTTAACATCCATTGTGCCTTTTCATTGCACAAAAGGTTCTTAACAGTAAAAAACATCCTTTTTATTGTATATTTTTGTTGACTGATAAAATGTTCTTCACGTCAAGAAAAACATGCTTAGTTTAAGAACTGTTTATTAAAAGGTTCTTTGGGGAACCAAAAATGGTACTTATGGCATCCCTTTTGGTCCATGGATGTTCAAGGTTCTTCGTGGAACCATAGACAGTAAGAGGCATTACGAGTGTAGAGTTTTTTTTTTTAACCAATGATGTTGGTTGTATCTGTAAAAATAGGCCTTTCTAATAGGCCACAATTGATCAATGATAAATATTGAGTATGTGACTTGTTAACTGCTTTTAACTCAGTGTTACATAAGAATGTAACATTGTGAGATTTGTGGTCAGGTGATGGCGAGTCAGACCCACTCAGTCACACTGTCCCCTTGATTCAGAATGATTCAGTGGAACGATGTGGAAACTTAGGGGTAATTGTATACCTATAGTATCTAAATGCTTGTAACTGGAAACAGAAGATCAGGTACGCCCTCAGATATCACACAGATACTCCTGCAGAAACTGAAACTGGTGGGATGCCGATCAACATCTTTTTTGATGTTGTCGTGGGATTCCCCAAGAACTAGATTTTAAAGCGTTGTACCTTTGTCTCACAATCTACTTCTACTATCACACTCTACATAGCATACAACTCGAAAAGCAGATTGCTCCCTCTTGTGGTTGTTTATTGATAGTATACGAAACCCCTATAGACCTTATTCACAGCATCGCCGTGAGCCTGAGGGATAGACGTATATCTCTTTCATGGGTTGTGTTATTTAATGTGTTTTTGGATTGTTCTGCTGACGAAACACTGCAAAAATACCTTTCTAGGAAGACAAAAAAAAACTCCAGACGACATTATAAGTGATCTTGGAGTTATACAGCTTTTTAGCGGATGCCATTGAAAACACTGTATGAGTCTTTCCCTCACAGCCTCGCCTTCATACCTGTCATGGCGCTGCTCTGAATAAGTTTTATTAAAGCTATACATTAACGGGTGTAAAACATAGCAAAAAGTAAATATTCGGTCATCATGATTAAATCTTAACTCTATATATTGAGTAAATTTCTTAAGGCTACTTCTCACAATTTTTACTTCAGTGAATATTTCTCATGGTAGATTTCTTTTATTGTACAGGTACATTTCTTGGCTTTGATACAAAAAAGCTATTTGGACATTTCTACCATATTGACTAAAAAAAGATACAATTTACTGAAGGCATGTCACATGTGGGGAAAGTTGTCACAACATACTCTGCTAATAGACTGTCCATTTTAGGCTTTTTAAAAGTTAAAAGCACAAATTGTTGATGAAACTAAAATACAATGACAGTACTATTATAAAATTACAACATACGAAATGCGTATGAATACTTGCCCTATTATTGCCCCTGGCATTTATTAAAAGTACAGTTAAAAAATGTTCCTTATACATGTATTTTGTCTGATTATATGTCAGTGTGGTTCATTTTGTTCACTTGTTTACCCAACATATGATACTAGAATTTTAGTTTGGATGACATAATTCACTAAACAATAACTTAAGTTTTTTAAATGCATCTTAGAAATCATCATCTAATTGGACCTGTAGTTATTTACACGACACATGTGACAACTAGCCCTGTTGTTGTTTCACTCAAGTTTTTAACTTTCTTACAACTTAAAATTTTGCGTTATAATGATTTTCCTGGATTTAACTTCTTGTGATAACCAAATATACAAGTTGACACTTAACTTAACTTTATTTCAATAATACAGCTTTTTATTTCGAGTTGATAAAATTAAAAATGTTACACAAGTCAAGCAAAAGTTTCTTTTTACAGTGTTTTTAAATGAATAATTTATTCATCATACCAAACACATTGGATTCTTTGATGACTGAGAACTAGGAATCATTAGAAAAATATAAATCTCTCTTAAGTTTCATTATTCAAATTTATATATCACATACATGAAGATAAACATAATATGCACTTTTATTCACTGTGCACATAAATGCAGTTATTACTTACAATGCATCAAAATATAAAAAATCTTTAATATGTTATACTTAATGTTGTAAATATGCAGTGAGGAAAAAAACATTAAATGAAAACCTCCATAAATTAATTAAAATGAATAATAATAATAATTAAAAACCCTGAATATCATTTCAACCTATACAAAGTCAACAAGCGCTCAAAGTTGTGTTTGTCTATCTCAGGTGTCCATTCTGGCCGAATGTGCTGATTTCAGCCACAATAAGCATTTCAATGCTCAGCCCATGAGCACATAATCATCTGAACAGTCCTCACTGCTTTTTTGCTTGGCCATGTCTGTTGTCTTTTGAGGGAGCTTTACAACGGCATAATCACAATCATTGTCCTCCAAGTCTCGAATAGGCCTTTCTGGATTGATGGTAGTGTGGTCAATAGAGGCATAGAGGACATCTTCTGTCTGTGGGTCAGAAAGAAAACACAAGCCTGTTAATTATGATTGAGGAAGTCTTTTAACCGGCATTTGAAAAAAATGTCAGTATCCATTGCGTTAGTGTGTGACTAAGGCCACAGCTCTATGTATAACAATGGGTTATTGTCAGAGAAACTGTGAACTTTGAGCTAGAATCAAACTGTTCAACATTTTCTTATTAAAACTTTATTGATTTATTATTTATTGTTTGTTTACTACAACTTCCTTGAAAAAAAAAGAGTTGTATATGGATTTTTATCATATTGTGTGGCTTAAAGAGGCAGAATAAATCAGGGTGTTGTCACCTTGTGGTTAAATGTCTTTACAATAAGGTTTCATTAGTTAATGCCTTAACTAAAATGAACTAACAATGAGTAACTCATTTGTTCCAGTATTTATTAATCTTTGTTAAAGTTAGTTAATAAAAATACAACTGTTCATTGTTAGTTTATGTCACCTCAGGTTGATTAAATAATGTTAAAAGTAATGTATCAGTAAATGTAGAAATTGCCATTAACTAAAATTAATAAATGCATTAGAATTATTTTTCCTTGTTAGTTCCCCCAGTGAAAAATAAATATACTAAAATGTATTTTAAATACATTTATTTTATGCTAAGTACAAATACATTTACATATTTATGTACTTAATATAAATACCCTGCAATTGTATTTTTAGTATACTAAATAGGTATACTTAAAGTTTGCTAAATTGAAACAACTTATTTTGTACTTGATGCACTTCAGTTATCCGGAAATAGTGCTATATATATATATATATATATATATATATATATATATATATATATATATATATATATATATACTGAAGTATATTTGATTGTGCTAAAGTGAAACTATTGCAATTAAGTATACTTTAGGTACACTTTAAATATCTTGCATTTCAATTATACAGTGATCATACTATCCTTACTAATAGTGATATTGAACACAGGCTTAATATTAAGAAAGTAGGGCACTTGTGTGCCATTATGTAGCCGTTTGGAACGCACTTGGTGAAGGGAGCAACGAAAGACAACGTCATTTCCTCATTATTTTCACCTGGGATGTTCCCATGACAATGCAGCACGGTGTCCATCAGCTGAAGCTGTTCTTATGACAGACATTTCTTATTATTCCTGTTAACATAACTGTTGCAAATAAATATACATTTTAAGTTTTCAAAATACGCGTTATATAGCCTATCTGTGTGTGAGTGTCTGAACTTTAAAACGTGCCGTCTCATCTTTGGACCCTGCATTACCTAACATTTCCTATGAAACTTATTTAAACATAATATGCCAAAATCTGTACAATGTAACTGATGTATAGATTAATATCTTACCCTCATGTTCTTTATTTTAAATTTTTTTTAAAAACGTTTCTGTATTTGGTTTTGTTGTGAGTATTTGGAGCACACATGTGTTGTGAAACTAATGAAGATGTTTTCTTAATTTGCAGGGTGTTTTTCTATTTGCATGTGTTTTCACTAAGGCAGACTCTGCATCCATTGCCTCTGACATGTTTTCTCACCATCACGCACCTAACTCGGAAACTCTTATGAAAATCCAAAGTTTCCAAAACTCATAATTACAAGTTGTGCTGATGTTCATGTGCATTTTATCTCATGAATACGTTCTTTCTGACATGACTTGAAAATACCGTAACTGCCGAAGCTAAACCTTTGACCACCTACACTCCAATGCACTGTAGTACACTTTTCCCATTAATGCTACTCTACTGGCCCTTTGCACTTGAAATGTGGACTGTCAAAATATTATGAATTATTAAACAAATTATTAAAATGACCCTGACCAGTCCTCAAAAATTACACAAAAAGTTGAAATGTGAAATAAATTCAGAAACGTTAACTGCATGAAAAGTAACAACGTAAAATGTTTTAAAATAATTTCAATTCATGCGTGACATTTAAATCTGCAGCGTAATGGCGGACACCAAACCATTTAATTGCGTTTTACATCAGGAGCAGTTGCTCAGTACATTGAGAGTTGAAGCGCGCAGAGACAGTCGGCAGAGAAATGTTAAGGATGGTTTTATTTCATCCGCATGCACTGAAACACAAGCAGTTCTGCACGCTCACATTCTTCCACCAACAAACAGAACTGTCTGTGTTTTAGTGCGTGCACAAGAATAAAACTGATGTTATCTCGATTTATGCAATTGCTTCCTGCAGCGTTAATGAAAGATCATGTCAGTTAAAAGGGAAGCAAAACATTCTGCAGGTGATATTTAATGTTTTGTTTGCTGGCTTTATTTCTTACACCGCTTCAAGTTTAACACACTTTCGTGTTCTATACAGGCCTTTTCGTGTTTATTTTCAGGCACTGGTACGCCTGACCCTCGAAAGCAACCCGAAGAAAAGGTCTGTGTTGAGGCAAAATCGAAACATGGAAGTGCGCATCCTTCAAGTCTCAAGTTTGTTGGCGAATGCATCTTGTAGCATCTGGACCAATCAGACACACACTAATTATTCATTATATTTAATGAATAATCCAGCAAACTCACTCTCCCAACAAAGGTCTATTAAACTTCCCCCCAAAAAACTAACATCATAAATGAAGCCAACACTGGCAGAACCCATTGTCCTGTTACAGGACACCTTAAGACTGATAAGAGTTTACGACCCCCAAAAGGAATGTGTAGAGGGCTGTGACACTCACTTAATTCTTACTGAGGAGAAATAAAACCTGTTAATCCTATATATTCTATATATATATATATAGCCACTTGAAAAATTTATAAACATGTTTCTAATTTTCCCTTCTCATGATTTTCCTTTTATGTAGTTTGGCCTATGTTTTCTTGTAAACTCTATTGGGTTAATGTTTCAGACTTTGCATACTGTGGTCAACCAAAATCATATGTGTGGCATGTTTGGTCTCTATAAACTCCAATCTTCGTCCCCCATTTGTTAATTTACATTACATTTTGCTAACGTTATGACGCATTAGTATTATAAGAATCTTGAAGATTCTTTTCGTAAACACCCAATGAAATTAAACATTCAAATGCCCTGCCAGAACACAAAGGGTCTTAAAAACTCCCTCCAAAGAGACAGCTCCGTATTGGCTCACACACCTCCAGAGGATGTGACATCTTCACGCTTTAAAAAATCACTGATCACAAGATTAGCTCTTAGCTCTATAGTCGCTTGCTCTCTTAGCCTCTTGCTCTATTACTCTCTTGGTCCTTCCTGAGAAGTCCTAGGGTGTATTCACACCTGCCTTGTTTGGTTCGATTGAATCGAACTCTAGTTCGTTTCCCCCCTTGGTGCGGACCTTTTGGGCAGGTGTGAATACAGCAATCGAACTCGGGTGCGGACCAAACAACCGAACCGAGACCCAGCTGAAGAAGTGGTCTCGGTACGGTTCCAAACGAACTCTGGTACGGTTCGTTTACGGTGTGAACATGAACCGACCCAATTGCAAGAAAGCACTGCGCTATGAACATAGCCCCTCTCTATGAATGAAAACTTTATACCTTATCCGTCTTCTGCGCAGTGCCACTGTCAGCATGCCATGGTAGGCGCACATGAGAGCATGTTCTCTCCGCCGGAACCGTCTTGCAGCACATCGTCGTCTTCTCAAAATCCGAATTACAACATCGTATAGATGATGACATTGTATCATATGATACTCATTAGTTTCTTCATATTGCGTTTGTACAGAATAACACAAAATTAGTAAAATAACAAATATTGCTGTACGAAATATCTCCATGCTGAGCCTTTTTTGGCTCAGCATGGGGCCGGCACTGGCTCAGTGGTTCATGTAAGTTGTCTACAAACCGGAAGGTTGGTGGTTCAATCCCCGGTTCCACCTGACCAAGTGTCGAGGTGTCCATGAGCAAGACACCTAACCCCAGTTGCTCCCGACGAGCTGGATGGCGCCTTGCATGGCTGACACCGCCGTCGGTGTATGAATGGGTGAATGTGAGGCAATATGTAAAGCGCTTTGGTGGCCATTGGGTCTGTGAAAGCGCTATATAAATGCAGTCTATTTTACCATTTTTTGCACTTCCTGATTTCCCTACTTGAGAATCCTTGTCCAATGAATGGACGACCTTAGCACACGTGTGTTTTTTTTTTACAAATTTTGGTTCACTTGCAAAAAGAGCAGTGTGAAAGCGAACCGTACCAAAAAAAAAAAAAATAATGTTTTGGTCCGGACCAAAGCAAGTGAACTATAGGACTTTCCTGGTGTGAATACACCCCTAATGTGAAGATGATGCTGAACTAGAAGTCCCCCAAGGACTCCAAAGCTTGCGCCAGACTGCGGCCTTGTCTTTCCATTCACCAAAGATCCTCTGACTCCCACTGGTTCTCTCTCATCAAGACCACATCAGTAAAGATCAACTGGAGCCTCAACAAATTGCATCAGGACAGTTTAATTCAAATGGGCGAGACATGCAAGTATCAAACTTAGTCTCATTATTTGATACATTAAGTATCCTTACCCCTTTTTAAGAAGGGCGTGTTAGAACTAAACTGATAGTTTGCTCAGGCTGTTGATCTGCTGAACTTTAAACAATGCTATAACTTCTTCCTTTCCTGTATTCTGCTTCAGCTCTCTTTCCCTTGGTAAACTGTATGCATGTATATGTATGTGTATGTTATAGTTTAAATGTTTAGTCTAGTTAATAAAATCTTGTTCATGTCAAACGTAAAGGTGTCCGTGTCTCAAGCTCATATCTGGAGTCACTAATCATAGATCTTGTCTACTTGCTCTTAGTAGTACTTAGTAAGAAAGACATTTCCCATGCCCTGGAAATGTACATTTCTATTAATCAATTAATAACCCATATTGAGTGTTCACGGGGTGAACCCAGTAATTGGTTGTAATGTCAATGTAGCTACATCAAGTTAACCCGATTAACTGATCCAAATATTCATAATCAATTATAACAAGTTATAATTGATTATTCATATTTCATAGAGCTAATTTGCTACAATATCAAAATGTGTTTCTGCGTTAACACCTTGAACAGGAGCTTGTGCAGGGCCCAATTCAAAAGTTGAAGGTCTAACATTGGTTGCAACCCACCGCCTTTTTTTGGCACAATAAACTATGGGCTGTTGAAACCCTTCATCTGAGCTCTATTGCATCCTTCGCCAATAGGACTGCAATGTCTGCATGCAGGACAGGGCCATCTTTGCCTGCCACCGAGTTAAATAGGACACCACTGAACCTGGGCGGGTGCCTGGCAAACTGAATCGTATAGCCAAGTCTGACTGTCCTGATGAGCCAGTGCGAGGATTGGGAAGTGCTACCCAGGGTTCTTGGCACTCGCCTGACGAACGGGCAGCATCGCCTTCCTGCGGGCGGCTTGATTGACAGTGCGGCCCGGGTTTAGGCTCAGTCTGTGGTGGAGCAGGTGTGGCAGCCGCAGATGGACACCCTCGGCTACGAGCAGACGGGGTGTGGGGCCTCTGCGACTTGAATTCAGAGGAATCTTGGTGAGGCAAGATGTGATTAATACCCTTCGTCTACTGCTATACTGCCGAGAACTGCTTTGCTGAAGAGGCCACCCTGCGAGATGGGTGGTGTCTTTGTCAGCTTCCACAATGTCGGCATTCCCTTCAACAAGGTTGAGCCAGAGATTGTGCTCCTGGGCAACCATGGTCGACATTGCATGGCCGAGAGCCCTTGCCATGACCTTCGTCACTCGGAAAACAAGGTCGGTCGCCAAGCACAGTTCCTGCATCAATAATGGCTCAGAAATACCTGTGTGCAGCTCTTTTGGAGCTTAGGCCTGATGGACCTGCCAGATGGTGCTGTTTTGCCTCCACCTGAGGAACCTCCATGTATCCCCTGGCTGCCCCACTGTTGAGGGTAGTGAAGATGGAAGAGCCAACAGCTCTTATCCACTTCCGGGAAGAAGGGCACCGGGGCAGGGCGCAGCTGTGCGTCGCGCTCCGATCCCAATCACCTAAGCGCGAATGGGACAGGGCAGATAATTCCCCTCTAGCCTGATGTTTACGGTGGCTCGGGCATGCATGGCCACAAACTCAGCATCGAACATGGGCTGGGCTTCCACACCCGAAGGTGGGAGCCCAGCCAAGTCCTCAGCGTTGGAAGGTATTAGCCCATCTCCCAATGCTGTGATCGATAATTCATCCATCCATTCTTGTCTCAGAACAACCAGCTGGATGTCAACCAATCTGGCTTCAAGAAAGGGCATTCAACCAAGACTGCATTACTGTCGGTCACAGAAGCCCTACGGATCGCAAAAGCTGCTTCCAAATCATCAGTTCTCATCCTCCTTGATCTGTCTGCTGCCTTCGACACTGTGAATCATCAGATCCTTCTGTCCACCCTCTCATCATTGGGCATCACAGGAACTCCACTCCACTGGTTTGAGTCCTATCTCACAGGTAGGTCCTTCAGGGTCGCATGGAAAGGCGAGGTATCCAAAGCACATCAAGTGACCACAGGGTTTCCTCAGTGTTCCGTTCTTGGACCCCTCCTCTTCTCCATTTACACCACACCACTGGGACCCATCATACATGCACATGGCTTCTCTTACCATTGCTATGCTGATGACACACAGCTCTTCCTTTCATTTCAAACAGATGATCCGACAGTAGCTGCACGTATCTCAAGCTGTCTGGCGGACATCTCGGCATGGATGAAGGAACATCACCTGCAGCTCAACCTGCCAAAGACTGAGATTCTCGTCCTCCCTGGCAATCAGTCTCTACAGCACGACTTCACTATCCAGATAGATTCATTATCAATCACCCCATCAAGGTCGGTCAGAAATCTTGGAGTAATATTTGATGACCAGCTGACCTTCACAGACCACATTACAAAGACAGCTCGATCATGCATGTTTGCACTGCACAACATCAGGAAGATCAGGCCTTTCCTAACTGAGCATGCAACACAACTTCTCGTCCAGGCCCTGGTTATTTCTAGGCTTTATTACTGCAATGCTCTTCTGGCTGGACTTCCATCATGTGCAACTAAACCTCTACTAATGATTCAGAACGTCTTGTCTTCAACAAGCCCAAAGGGGCCCACGTTCATCTCTCTTCATCTCTCTGCACTGGCTACCACTCGCTGCTCGTATCAAGTTCAAGGCACTGATGCTTGCTTACAGGTCTACCACAGGCTCAGCTCCCTCCTACTTTCACTCGCTCCTACGAATCTACATCCCTACCAGAAGCCTACAATCGGTCAATGAGCGACAACTCGTGGTATCATCACAGAGAGCCACAAAATCACTCTCCAGAACATTCTCATTCATGGTTCCATGCTGGTGGAATGATCTCCCCTCCCGCACCCGGAATGCAGAATCTCTGACAACATTCAAAAGACAGCTGAACGCTCATCTCTTCCGTGAGCACTTAGCCTCATAAAAATAAAAAAAAATCGTTAATTTTCCTTTAATCCTCCCTTGTCTGGCTTATGCTACTCTGTGCAATGGCTGAACATTGTATTTTGAGCACTTCTTGCGTTGTTTTTGCCTTTTCACGATGGCTTGCTTTAATCCTCATTTGTAAGTCGCTTTGGACAAAGGCGTCTGCTAAATGACTAAATGTAAATGTACAAAAAACATAAGAACACGCTGGAATACAAAATAATTAAAACCATCAAGAAAAAGCTAAGCTAAAAAATATGAGAAGGAAGGAGCATAGGATTAGAAAGCCCTGTCCCCTACAGATCGTAAACGTGTCTGTGTCAACAGCCAAAAGACCAGGGGAACGCAAATGACGCTTGGGGATACAGTTAAAAAAGCGCAGACAGATACTGAGGGGGCAGACAATGCAGTGCCTTATATGTGAGCATAAGGATTTTAAAATCAACGCGGAACCTGACCGGGAGCCAGTGCAAGGACTGTATTGGAGAAACGTGTTCATTTCTTCTGACTCCAGTCAGGATCCTAGCAGCAGAATTTAGCAGACATTGCAATTTGTTGAGTGTGATTTTAGTAACCCCAGCAAGAAGTGCATTGCAGTAGTCAATGTGGGAAAAAACAAAAGTATTGATTAGCCTCTCAGTCATAGGAAAAGATAGCATAGGACAAATTCTAGCAATATTTCTAAAATGAAAAAAGGAATTCTTAACAATATATTGCACATGTGGGTCAAAGACAAACTCGAATAAAATATAACATGTATTTTTTTTTATTTCGTTTGGAACTCCAAAACAGAGCCATCTCCGGTTAACATTAGTGTACCAGCTTTACAAAGCTGATGAGCCAATAAGCAAGACCTCAGTCTTATCACTATTAAGGCACAAAAAGTTTTGGGTCATCCATATTTTTATCTCAGGAATACAATGTGAGAGAAAAGAAACATCCACATTTTGACCAGGCTTAGAGTGAATTTAAATCTTGTTGCCTCATTCAGGTATCTGCATTTAGGGGCATGCTACTCTTCTCAGCTGCTTGTAACAGAAGAGCACCGCTTTGATGATACTTTTCTCCTGTAAGGGGCATGCTGTTCTTTTCAGATGCTTGTAACAGAAAAGCACCCCTTCACTGCTGCCCCCAGTCTCTGCTATTTCAGAGGAACATGCTGCTCCTTTCCGAAATGTCCTATTCTTGTCTGTCTTACTTTTCCAACCCCCCCCCCCCCCCCCCCCCAAAAAAAAACCAAATCCAATCCAATTTTACACAATAGAAAAATTACAGCTCAAATTTAATGATTCAACTCATACAATTACATGGTCTATGTATTCCCTAAAGGCTTGAGGTCAGCAGTATTCTTTAATGAGCTAATATCCCAAGTAAGTAATTGTACAGTGTGCATTTTTTTCTAAATTACTGTATTCATTATTTATGAATTTGACATTGACTGCACTGAAGAATAAGATTTCTATTAGGGTAATCCAGACATAATTTATATGCTTTTATCAATGTTGTAAAATATATAAATTATGAACTTTACATTGATCGCATTCAAGGTTTCTATTTATTTAATCTAGGCGTACCAGCATCATAAATTTATCGTAAGTTACGTAAGTTTCACCTCAAGTCATTCGCTTTGACATACTTTCCCACCTGGATTCTATTTCTGTCACATTGGTAGCATCATTTGGAGAAACAGGAAAAAACACTGTGACTAAATGTTTGTCATTTGAATACTACATTAAAAAGACTCCAATTTTTGCCCAAAATGCAAAACAAGCCAAAAATACCTATGATGAAACTGACAAAGATCTAAACTAATGCCCTCGTGTTTTAACATGATGTTATCAGATGTGCGAGTTTGAACATCAGTAGATGTAAAAGGGCTACATACTGTATACATGTATATAAAATGAAAATATCATTTTAATTGTACAGTTTAAATGTATTATTTTAGTAGAACTCTGACGTGAGTTCACGAGAGCGCCACGACGCATGCGCGAGCACTGAGAAGATGACGCAGATGGGTCTCGATGTAGTGTTTAAAATGGTTCTAAAGTGTGCATTTCCTGGATGTCCGAATCGTAAGAAACCAACGAGAAAACGTAAAAGTGCCTTACCAATCCCGCAAAATTAATGGCTTACCTTTCGCACTTTCCCATCAAATGATCGCGAGCGTCATCTTCTCAGTTCTTACGCATGTGTCGTGGCGCTCTCACGTCAGAGGCCCACATGGAAGAAAAGGAATAGTTCAATAAAGTATTCACAAAAAGTATTCTCGTCACTTTATAAACTTATGGTTGAGCCACTGTAGTCACTTGACTATTTTAACGATGTCTTTACTAACTTTTATGGGCCGGCAGATGCAATTACCTAGCAGCCTATGGAGGAGTGAGAGCTCTCAAATTTCATAAAAAATATCTTAATTTGTGTTCTGAAGATGAACGAAAGTCTTACGGGGTTGAAACAACATGAGGGTGAGTATTTACTGACAGAATTTGTAGGTGATCTAACCCTTTAAGAGTCAAATAAACACTCTATTAAACTCCTAACATTATGAATTATTGGCATTCTTACCCGTGTGTCGGCTGCTGTTGCTCTCTGATTGTCATTATCTTCTAAAAAAAAAACATACAAATTACATGTCAATAAATTAGTCACTTCACAATGTAGCCATTCATTGTACACAATGAGTAGCCTATCATAGCTGTCCTTGAATGTACATCCTCACAAAATTGACTGTCAGCTACAGAAGTGCTGCGTTATGTGTGAACCACATGAACTTTGACATAAAACTAAATGCATGCTTGAATCTCTGCCAAAGGTTTGCCTACTCAAGTAAAAAGGAACTTCCTTATTAATGCATTAGCTGGAACATGCTATTTCAGAATATATATTATTATCAGAGTAAATTCTCTTACCAGCGCTTTCAATTTTCTTCTTCCTGAGGATAAAAATATGTAAATTATATAAAGTCACATGCACAATGCAATTTTCCATTTCCGAAACATTTAGAAAAAGTAGCACTCAGCCAGTAGACTTTACAACATAACTTAGATTACTTAATAATTCCCAATAATAATAATAATATTAATAATAAAACAGAACCTGAATAGACTTCTAGTACATAATCTAAGTAAATCATCAAGCTCTACAGATGACCTACCTTCGCTTGCTACTTAAATTGCCCATAGTTCCAACAAGCTCAATATGGTTTGTTTGCCGCAGTATAAATACTTAAGCTACAACCACAAATTGCAGACTGCTGAAACTGCAAGTGTGGTCTGAACCCAGAGTTTCCAACCTGCCAATCAGACAGAATAAGATGTGAAAGGACAGAAATAGTAAAACAAGAGAGGGATAGAGAGACTGATTCAGTGTAAAGCAGTCAAACAACAGGCGGTTTGTATTTCGCTTGTATTTCCTGTGTTCTGTGGTTTTCATTTGCCTCCTGGTGCATGAAACGAAGACACGTTCGGTTTCATGTGTGCGCGTTTAAAACTCTATTAGTGGTCATTTTGCTATCTCATATATGTCTAATTTGTGTGTGTTATGTGTTATTCCACGACAGCTTTTCTGAAACTGATCTGTTTAATTTTTTATTTTATTTTTTCACTAATCTTCCACATGTCATATGCAAATAGCTGTCAACAGGAAAAACAGGCAATACAGTGTCGGATATATTCTTTCATTTAGATGAGTAGTTGAAAAACAAGTTCCTCAAAACTATCTATGAATTGTTGTTAATTCCTCTTTATATGTATGTTTGAATGTATGTATGTATGTTCACATACATACATATTTAAATGCTAATAACACAATTATTCATACCGTCTAAGTCTGTTCAAAGATGTGATATTTGGTTTCTGACAGTTGATGCTTGTTAGGCACAGGAAGTGAAGCATTTCCTTCAAGACCACACCGTACATAAATTATATAAATAATAGCCTACTCTTACCATGATCTGCTTTGTGTTATTGATTGACCATAAGAACTTATAGCTAAGCAGATTGCAAAAGAAAGTCAATAATATTTTTAAATATTATAAAGCAGTGGCGTAGGTTTGATTTTGAAATTTAAAAATATTATTGACTTTCTTTTGCAATCTGCTTAGCTATAAGTTTATGCCTTAAGCTCAATGAAGCACATTAAATGCTTTTTTTTTTATATCACGATCAGATAAGTATGAGACTCTTTCTCTTCACTGTCATTCTTAGCCCTGTAGGGGTCAGTATGAAAACACTTAAAGCACAAAAAAAAATATATATATATACTTTGTAGCACTTTCTGCCATCAGTCAAGACAGAAAGTATTTGACAATTTTAGCCTTGATGTCAGACACGTTTCTTTATGGTGGATTTCAGAGGGATGAAAAATGATCAGTGCATCATCTTGTTTACTCTCTTGCAGCTTTCTTTGGGTGAGAGTTATACCCTTATGTATATTATTTTTAAGTTGGGTTATGTTAAACATTAAATATTGTTTTATGGCAGCCTGTCAATCTGTTTTATGAACCAATTGCTGAATGTAACTCATAGGGTTTTCTTAACATTAATCTTTATTCAGAACACAAAGTATTATTTTTACTATAATAGGATGCTGTTAAGTAGTACTAAATGTGATTCATATCCAAAGAAATTAACAATAATCAGTCTTTATAGATTAAATCATATTTATTACACACATTAGGATCACAGGTTTTAGAGGTGAATTTAAATACAGAGATGTGGAGACATTGCTTTTCTAAAGGTTCTTAATTGGGATCTATGGCTCCATAAAGAACACCCCCTTTCAATTGCACAAAAGGTTCTTTAGTGGAAAAAGGTTCTTCGGAATATTAAAATGTTCTTCACATTAAGAAAAATGGTTCTTTTAAGAACTTTTCACTGAAGGGTTCTTTGGTGGAGCCCAAAATGTTTATTCAATGGAATCACTGGGAAAACTCTCTTTTGAATACTTAATTTTTAAGCATGTTTGGGTGGTTGAAGTTTTCATTTAAGCCTCTAATCATCTAACAACAACCCATTTTAGGAAAGATGATGATCATGATGGGGAGGGTTACATCCCAGCAAACACAATTGTTCAAAGAACGTTATGGTTGCTAGGTTGAGTAACAAAAATGTTATTTCTGAATATTGAACAAAACTGAACAAAGGAACACATGATGAACATGAAAACAAACTAAAAGTCCATGATAAAGAAACTAGCCTGAACATAATGTGACAGAAACATTCTATTGTATCATTTTGCAGACATTATAGGAACATTACTTTTTAATGTTCTCTGAACGTTCTGAAACAAGTTTTTTTTTTTTTTTATCCAAAACAATATTCCATGACCTGTTAGCTGGGTTATGACTGCCTTTAAGATACCTTTAAGATGGAAATTAATATTTGGGTTTAAATGACTGACTTATGACACACCAAAGCTTTTTTTTTCCCCGTCTTGAGCCTTTGTTTTAAAGTGGCCTAAATTTTTGTCTTTGTGTGAAAGGTCTCAAAAGGATGTGGCTAAGTATGTAACTGTCTCAGTGACGAGTCTATTTTGATAGAACCATTTATTGTGCACAAGGTCCATCAAACATACCAACACATTCTCATCCTTTGGCGTCATATAGGTGACGCCATATGACATTTAATCGAAATCTTACGCACATGGCATCCTTTAGCGCAGGAGTCACCAACCCGTCGATCGCGATCGACAAGTCGATCTTGGAAGCATTTTAAGTCGATCGCGAAGAGTTTTCAAAATCAGAGAAAAAACACCAATATTTGTATTCATTATTATTTATTAATTAAAAATGCACCATGTGTGAGCCTACTGTGTGTAGTAAATGGTGTCTAGGGATGCGGAGGCGCGCGCGCCGTTACAATGACGTCATTTTTGGCTCATGCGGACGCGTCGAGTATAAACAAGGCTTCACGCTTTAACCAGCTCAGCCACTTCACACTACGCTCACATCAAGCTCTTCAAGCTAACGATACGCAAGCTAACGAAACGATGGCACAACGGTGAGGGAGTAGGCTATTGCTAGTTTGAAATCTGCAGGGGTTTCCCTGCATAGACAATTATGAGGCGGCCGCCTCCGTCAAATTTATAGTTAAGAAACAATATAACGTTATAGACTACACACACGACCAGAGTGCTGTTTTCCTGAATGCAAGCACGATTGAAACCAAGATATTGATTTCATAACAGTTCAATAAACAAATAGTTAAAATTAAGTTACTTACATTCCCACTAAACACTGGACGTCGGATAGACGTGCAGATCATGTCTATATTGGGTCCGTCGGTCCATGACCAATTCTGGACATCTATTCGACTTCCAAACTAGGTCCACTATTTGGACGTCCAACCATGACCCAACTTGGAAGTCATGTTGGCGTTCAACATTTGACCGTTGAACTGGGTCATTTTTTTGGACCTCATTTGGACATCTATTACAGGTGCTGGAAATTTACATGATTAATATGCAATATTTTTTTTATTTACAAATATCAACATTGTTGTTATCAACATGATTAATACATATAAATACAGATTATTTATAATTATTTAAGATAATTTTCCCAAAACTCGATTTGATTGTCTCTGGTGGTAATTGCCACGTTTGAAGGTGTAATGCTGTAGCTCAAACAGTAGAGCGTTGGCGCTTGTGTAACGGCCACCTAGATCATGGGTTCGATTCCCAGGGAAAGCAGGAATCTAAGTTTAATGCAATGTAAGTCACTGTGGATAAAAGCGTCTGGCAAATGCATAAATGTAAATACATGGTACAAAAAATGTCCTCTACCCTTTTGAAACATGGGACTACAGTTATAGAAGTTATAGAAGATACTAAATTTGATGTTGAAAAGACGTCCACAAACGACCACATTTGGTCCCACCGACGTCAATATTAGATGTGCAAAAGACGTCGCCTGGCGTTACAAAACAACCCCTTCAGTGGACCGAAATTGGACGTCCAAAAATGACATAGAAAAGACGTCACTATGACGTCACATTGCGCAGTGGGTTTTTAGACGTAATTACTGTTTTTGTTCTGTTTCAGCAGCGAAAATAGTTCCAAACAACAGAGCCAGCACATCTCACAGCAACACTCATCCATTATTCATTACTGAATGATTCAGCGTTTTGACGGTTTTGACCTAATCGCTCGAGTCAAAGATTCAATTAACGTTACCCATTATTAAACCGCCTCATTCTGAATCAATCAGCCGTTTGAACGAATCGTTTGAATGAATGACTCAATGACTCGCTCATTAAGACGGCCGCCTGCCGCTTCTACTGGCGGTTTAGTTTCAAAGTATCATTCTTTTCAACATTCCTTATTTGTATATTCAAAAAATATTCAAAATAATCTCATTTAACACAGTTATAATTTTTCAATGTAAATTATTACATTTGATTGGTAACAGCCTTGTCTTATTATTTTAATTGAATGTATTGATAAAATGTAAGAATTTGAAATGAAATTTAGAGCATACCAGTACATTAAATAAAATTAGGGGGAAAATGCCCTTTATAAAGGTACAAAAAAATTATTCCGATAAGAGTGTTTTCAAAAATAAAACATTGCAATTTAAGTTTAAAGGGAGTAGGCTAAAGCCTCTGTTTAGGCTATAAAGGAAATGTAATTTTGCCAAAAGAAGAACTTTTAATTTAAATAAATGTTAATTTTAAATCAGCCTACTTCAGTGTGATATGTTACCATATTATCATGCTTAATTGAATAATTGTAATGTGATGATCAGATGCAGATATCTAAATCAAAGAATATGGGTGGTTGGCGGGTGGATTATTTTTTATTTTTAACAACAGATTCGAGTGACTCAAAGTGCACCAGATTAATGAATTTATCTTTAAAATGTACAAATTTTTCTCACACGGGTGGGGAGGGGGGGGGGGGGGCGGGCGCATGCCCCCGGTCCCCCCTAGTGTTACGATTTTACCACCTCCGCCTCATTTTGAGCCAGGAAAAACCCTGTATTGGCTATTGTTAAAAGGAGATCTGTGTTTTATGTTGTTGGAAAAGGGAAAGAGAATCAGTGCTGTACATGACTGTTTTAGGCCTGTAATTGATTGATTATTGAGGTAATGAATAGTAGTAGGTCTGTAATTTGTGTGAAAATATTTTTGAAGAATTGAAGGATGACTGTTGTCATAATATTTTGTATGATAGTTGCACTTACCATTTTGATTTGAAATAGCCTATGTTTTAAAAGGGAAAATGAAACAGTACATTATTGGCTTAGGCCTGTAATTGACTGATTATTGTGTTTATATATGAGTAATAAGCCTGTGGATATATACTTAACAATGTTATATTACTGTTGAAAATGTTGAATTATAGTTGACAGTTTGTATAGTTATATACTATTTGTATAGTTAAATAAATATTTTCCTAGTGACTAACAGGCAACAAAGAATGTCAAAGTAGAACTACATTGTGGCCTTGTTTTTTCATAATTTTCTGCAAGTGGTAGATCTTGGTTTACATTTGGACTTGGGATGTGATCTTAGGCTTGAAAAGGTTGGTGACCACTGCTTTAGCGTCAATATAACACGCACTGTTATGGGTAGGTTTAGGTCTGGGGTAGGGTTACGGCTATGACGCCTTGGGTTCTGCGTCTCATATTGACGCTAAAGGATGCCATGTGCGTCAGATTTAGACGAGCGTCACCTGTATGACGCCTTGGGTTCTGCGTCTCATATTGACGCTAAAGGATGCCATGTGCGTAAGATTTCGACGAAATGTCCAAAGCGTCACATGTATGACGCCTTGGGATGAGAACGGGCTGAACATACAGTATAGGACATATTAAACATGTAATCAGTAACAATATTTGTCCACCGAAGGCGAGATGAAGTAGGGTCCATGTGCAGTTTATTTAAACACCAGCAAAGTGACATAAAATATAATCCAAAACAGACTTGACTTGACTTGACTATCGGCTTGATATAAACTTAGAGCACATGACAGGATCACATAATGGGATCAGGGAATCAGATGACAAAACCAGGAGCATAACTTTGACAATACATAATAAAAGACATAACCTAAACATGACACAAAACCCAAAACCAAACGGGACATATTCCCCCCACTAAAAAGGCGACTCCAGAATCCTTAGCTAAACACACACCCAAAGCACAAAACAGGGTGGTGGATTGGACCAGGGGGAGGGATGGAGGGCGCCAGGCCCATGAAGAGGATGAGAGCCTGGACAATGGAGCAGTGGTGGACCTGGACTGTGGAGCAGTGGACGAGACCATAAACAGTGAAGCAGTGGCAGACCAGGGTCGTGGTGTAGTGGCGGACCCGGGTCGTGGGGCAGTGGACGCGACTATGGAGGATCACCTGGGCCACCTGGGTGGAGCTGGCGGAGGTGATAACCACCACAGTAGAAGGTCGCCATGGTAGATTTGGTTGGTCAGGAGGCCATGGCAGACCAGACACATGAACGACCTTCATTACCGTGACTTGGAGCATAGAACTCTCTTGGGCGGCCTCCGCATCCATGGCATGGAGCACAGAGAGTTCATGGACAGCCTCCATAGCCTAAACAGAGCCTCCTTGGCCGTGATGGCAAACAGAGAGTTTAGGAAAAGAGTCTTTGGAGTTGCTGTAGTGGTCACCACTGCTTCTGATGAAGTGTATGCAGGCCACAAACACAGCATAGCAGTGGCCACTACAGGAAGTACTGTGGACAGAGGGATGATATCAGGAACAACTGGATTTGGACTTGGGACCACTGGATTTTATTTGATTGCCTCTCGAACTGACCTTAACTGTGGATCCATTATACTTGTGATCGGTCTCATTCACCCCAAGACTGGTCTGTTAGAAGAGGAGGTTCGTGGTGAACCAAGCTCTACTGCCGTTGGAGTTTTGTATGTATCAAACTTTAAGTATGGGACATAGACCAAGCCGCAATCAAAGAGCTAGCACCGATGAAAGCTGATTGTGTTGTCGCCTCTCGTTGGCTGTGTCTCTGCCAAAAAGCTGTGCTTAACCACACCAAAAGGACTAAAGGCGACTGTCAACTAGCATGTGCATTCTGAGCCTGTGTGCAAGTAAATATCTGTCTATCAACAGATTTCAATAGTCTATTTTCGTCATTCAAAAAGGAAAACCGTTACTAGGACTGCAGATGTACAAACCTTAAACAAAGCAGCACTTGCTTACTATTTTGAATATCAATCAAGCTGATCACTTCCTTCATTCCAGTCGGCTCATGTTATTACGAAAATATTTGTGCATTGAATGCTCATGTAAGATGATGAAAACACCCTCTGATTGCCTGCTTCATTCGTGGAGCTAGGCGACTGAGACCCGTCAGAGTGAAAGTAGCCGTGGTCCTTAAGGGGGTAGTCGACAACACCTTTGAACCACTAGAGTCAGCGGCGGTCAAGCTTCTGACTCTAAAAATGGTTTTCTAAAAAACCATTTAAAAAAGTGGTGCATTGCCGCACTGGGGGTGTGTTCAGGATGTTGTTCAGACAAAGTGACCTGAAAGCACACCTGACGTCTGACGTCTGATGATGTCATCATCAGAGGTTATTTAAGCCAAATTATTAGCGTGTTTGCCACACGTTCACAGCATCTCGTTACCGCTTTTTCAGGGAACAGGGTTACAGTCTAGTAACCTAACACGTTTTAAGGAGAAAATACTCAGAAACTGTTTTCACTGATTAATTTGCACATGGTTTGTCTTAAAGCATAACAACACCATATAGACATAAACTACATTAAAAACTTGATTTTCATTGTCTTTAACAATTTTCAGTCTTGCAAGCATCCACTGGATTTGTCCCACAGTTTTAAGTTTTCACAGATGTTTCCATCCACGCTCATTGACTAACTGCTACATGTTGTCTCATTGACTCCTAACATGTACCGGTGCAAAAGCTTTTTAAACTCTATCCTGAAGCAAACCATCTCCAATCATTTCAACATGTTGGTCATTGTTAAATGTTTTAATAAAGAAATATTTAGGAATGTTGTTCTAAAATTAATGGCTTGACTGCAATATGTGCCATTAACATGCCTGCTTTAATCGATTAATATCTTGATTATCTCTCTTGTAAAAGGTATACACACATCCACATGGAAGGGACAGACTGTAATATTTCATCTCCATGAATTTTCATTAGAGACCATTCATTTGATCGAATGGAAATACCACACAATCAACCAAACCATCCTGCTGGCCAGGATAAATCTAAATGAAAAGCGTTCAAAAATGTTCAGCAAGAGGACTGGGATGCAAATAATGGAGAATGGTACACTTCAAATTGAAGATATTAAAGATGAAGACTCTGGGAACTACTCTTGCACCATCATTTTCCATGATCAAAGAATGAAGACAGAGCAGATTTTTCTTCAAGTACTTAATGGTACCATTCTATATCTTACAAATTACTTAAGGTCATTTCTCAAGATAATCAGACAATGGGATGATAGAGTAATTATCTTTGGCAGAAGCTATAGTCAATAATAATATCATCAATGTATTCTGTAAGGAATGTGTATTCTTTGGTAATGATCATTTGTTTTTTCTGCTGAAGACTTGAAGACTGAACCACCAAACAGCACACCACAGCTGTACACCACAACATTGAAACCATCAGGTACCTTTTCATTCACTTCATTTAATGTGAACATTAGATTAAAGGCACATTCTACTTCTATAATGGCGCTTTTCCACTGCATGGTACGGTATGGCATGGTTTGGAATGGCACGCTTTGGCGCTTTTCCACTGCCTGGTACGGTACAGCTCGGCTCGGTACGGCTCACTTGTGGCGCTTTTCCACTGCATGGTACGGTACGGTACGGCTCACTTGTGGCGCTTTTCCACTGCATGGTACGGTACGGTACGGTACGGCTCACTTCGGCTCGCTTTAAATGGTACCACCTCTGTTGAGGTTCCAAGCGTACCGTACCGATACTAAAATGTGACGTGAACACACTGCAGATCACTGATTGGTCAGACAGAATCGTCACTACCAGCGTCATTGTATTTGCGAGACATCAAACCCGCTAGATTTAAATAGCCACTTTAGCCAGTAACAGCCACCGCTGTAGCACCTGTTTTAAAACTACTTGCTTGACTTGCTTGAAGAAAAAAGAAAGAAAGAAAACTTCAAAAAAAGAAATGGCTGAATCGTGGTCAGTGGACGAAGTGCAGACGTTCCTCTCTTTGGTTGCCGAGGAGCGGATAAACTATAACGGTCAGACTATAATCCCACCCACTTTGAAGCGGTACTAACCGCAGTGGAAAAGCAAACCGAGCTAAAGCAAACCGATCCGTGCCGTGCTGTGCCGAGTCGTACCGTGCTGAGCCGAGTCGTACCACGCAGTGGAAAAGCGAAGCGAGCCGAACCCTACTGAGCCGTACCAGCAGTGGAAAAGCGCCATAACAAAGAAAATTTTGATTTAGCCTTTTCACACTTTGCTTAGTCACCTACAAATTCATAAAAATAAAAGTTTTAAAATGATGGGTGGATCATTGCATTGTGCAAGATGCAAAGCAATATGTCACTTACCCATGAAGAATAAGTGTAGTTAAACATTTTAAAGAGGTCATATTCATAATTAATTCATTCATTCAAAGGCCTGAATAACACTGTGACATCTATCTATCTATAAATTACAGGAACGTCTGTCTGTCTGTCTGTCTGTCTGTCTGTCTGTCTGCCTGTTAATCGCATATCGCTCGAACTGTTAGTCCGATGGATTTCAAACTTGATAAGTGTCTTGCTACGGGCACGAGTAAGTGCAGTGCCGAGTTTGACGTTGTTTGGATTAGAAATGCAAAAGATATCGTTAAATATATCGGTAAAAGAAGCACACATTGAAGTTGTGGTTTAAAAATAAAAATTCTGACATTAGAGAGGGTTGTGGTTTGAAAAGAAACATTCTGACATAAACACTCTGTCAGCTAAACATTAAGTCAGCTACACTGTTTACTTCTGAATATTGTCGTTATTCAGAAGTAGTTAGTTGTCAGTAGTTAATTATATATGTAGTTCAATTTTCCATATTTATTGTACTAGTGCAATGCTTATTGTACTAGTGCAATTCTGGTACGCTTAACATTGTCGCTACTGTGTAATAGTAGCCTATGCTATTCACCAACTAAACATAAAAGTAGCTAACTGCCTTTCATTGGCTCTATAATTGTAATCTGCACAATGACAACAAAGTTGACTTTAATGTAAATCTAATCTCATCTAAACTAAACCTGCTACCTGTACACAGATACCCAAATACATGTCACCTAATATCACCATTATAAATAGTTTTGCAACCATGCAGTTCAATTTTCCATATCAGTCACCAGTATCAGTATTTGCTTTCTACCATGCACAAATAAAAATGTCACTGAACTTTTGCTGTGTAATTGTAACAATGAGCACTCAAACACACCAAACCAACAATTACTAAAAACACACACAAAAACTGATTTTGAACAGTTGGATATCTGTTATTCGCATATCTCTCGAACTGTTAGTCCGATGGATTTCAAACTTGACAGGTGTCTTGCTACGGCCACGAGTAAGTGCAGTGCCGAGTTTGAAGTTGTTAGGATTAGAAATGCAAAAGATATTGTTCAATATATTGGTAAAAGTAGCACACATTGGCTTTTGCCGCTCTAGCCGCTGGCCACTCTGGCTCACACTCAGTGTTGCCAACTATTTTCAACGGAAAGTAGCTAACGCCTTCCCTAAAAGTCGCTAAATATCGCTAGATGACGTCATACGTCAATTAGCATATTCATGACGTCATCACGTCGTTCTTGCGTTCTGCCTGCCTATGTTTTCTCTCTAAATTCATGCTCACATACTGTATTTTAATATCATATAATATAGCCGAATGTCCATATAAAGCTGTTTTCATTTCCTATATTATTTTTTGTCAGACAATAGAACAAGTAGACAAGCTATGGTATAGTGAATGACAAATACATTTTATGTTAGATATCTGAATTGAGAGAGTTCGGGAACTAGAAAAAAAGGAAATGAAAATGGTCAAACTACATTTTTTAAATATAAAACAACAGAGAAGCAGATAAGTGATAAGTCCGTCGAAAAAAAAAACTGTCATGTGCTCAACAGAAGAATGAGCCGCTGCTCCTCTCAGCCAATCACTGAACAGGGGAGACGCAGAGAGAGAGAGTGACGGCAAGGAGAAAGCAAGAGCTCGCGCTTGCACGACTGACAACATTTGGAGGTTACTAAGGTTTGTCTGAAAAAGTCGCTAGATTTGTCGCTAGTCGCTTTTTTGAAAAAATGTCGCTATAGGGGTCTGAAAAGTCGCTAAATATAGCGACAAAGGCGCTAAGTTGGCAACACTGCTCACACTGCACACTGAGAGGCCACTCCTCCTCCACACTGCACACTGAGTGGCCACTCCCCCTCTCACACTGCACACTGAGTGGCCACTCCCCCTCTCACACTGCACACTGAGTGGCCACTCCCACTCTCACACTGCACACTGAGTGGCCACTCTCCCTCTCACACTGCACACTGAGGGGCCACTCCTCCACACTGCACACTGAGTGGCCACTCCCCCTCTCACACTGAGTGGCCACTCCCCCTCTCACACTGCACACTGAGTGGCCACTCCCCCTGTCACACTGCACACTGAATGGCCACTTCCCCTCTCACACAGCACACTGAGTGGCCACTCCCCCTGTCACACTGCACACTGAGTGGCCACTCCCCCTCTCACACTGCACACTGAGTGGCCACTCCCCCTGTCACACTGCACACTGAATGGCCACTTCCCCTCTCACACTGCACACTGAGTGGCCACTCCCCCTCTCACACTGCACACTGAGTGGCCACTCCCCCTCTCACACTGCACACTGAGTGGCCACTGCACACTGAGTGGCCACTCCCCCTCTCACACTGCACACTGAGTGGCCACTCCCACTCTCACACTGCACACTGAGTGGCCACTCCCACTCTCACACTGCATCCTGAGTGGCCACTCCTCCTCCACACTGCACACTGAGTGGCCACTCCCCCTGTCACACTGCACACTGAATGGCCACTTCCCCTCTCACACAGCACACTGAGTGGCCACTCCCCCTGTCACACTGCACACTGAGTGGCCACTCCCCCTCTCACACTGCACACTGAGTGGCCACTCCCCCTGTCACACTACACACTGAGTGGCCACTCCCCCTGTCACACTGCACACTGAGTGGCCACTCCTCCTCCACACTGCACACTGAGTGGCCACTCCCCCTGTCACACTGCACACTGAATGGCCACTCCCCCGTCACACTGCACACTGAGTGGCCACTCCTCCTCCACACTGCACACTGAGTGGCCACTCCCCCTCTCACACTGCACACTGAGAGGCCACTCCTCCTCCACACTGCACACTGAGTGGCCACTCCCCCTTTCACACTGCACACTGAGTGGGCACTCCTCCTCCACACTGCACACTGAGTGGCCACTCCTCCTCCACACTGCACACTGAGTGGCCACTCCCCCTCTCACACTGCACACTAAGAGGCCACTCCTCCTCCACACTGCACACTGAGTGGCCACTCCCCCTTTCACACTGCACACTGAGTGGCCACTCCTCCACCACACTGCACACTGAGTGGCCACTCCTCCTCCACACTGCACACTGAGTGGCCACTCCTCCTCCACACTGCACACTGAGTGGCCACTCCTCCTCCACACTGCACACTGAGTGGCCACTCCTCCTCCACACTGCACACTGAGTGGCCACTCCCCCTTTCACACTGCACACTGAGTGGCCACTCCTCCTCCACACTGCACACTGAGTGGCCACTCCCCCTTTCACACTGCACACTGAGTGGCCACTCCTCCTCCACACTGCACACTGAGTGGCCACTCTCCCTCTCACACTGCACACTGAGTGGCCACTCTCCCTTTCACACTGCACACTGAGTGGCCACTCCTCCTCCACACTGCACACTGAGTGGCCACTCCCCCTCTCACACTGCACACTGAGTGGCCACTCTCCCTCTCACACTGCACACTGAGTGGCCACTCCTCCTCCACACTGCACACTGAGTGGCCACTCCCCCTCTCACACTGCACACTGAGTGGCCACTCTCCCTCTCACACTGCACACTGAGTGGCCACTCCCACTCTCACACTGCACACTGAGTGGCCACTCTCCCTCTCACACTGCACACTGAGGGGCCACTCCTCCTCCACACTGCACACTGAGTGGCCACTCCCCCTGTCACACTGCACACTGAATGGCCACTTCCCCTCTCACACTGCACACTGAGTGGCCACTCCCCCTCTCACACTGCACACTGAGTGGCCACTCCCCCTCTCACACTGCACACTGAGTGGCCACTCCCACTCTCACACTGCACACTGAGTGGCCACTCCCACTCTCACACTGCATCCTGAGTGGCCACTCCTCCTCCACACTGCACACTGAGTGGCCACTCCCCCTGTCACACTGCACACTGAATGGCCACTTCCCCTCTCACACAGCACACTGAGTGGCCACTCCCCCTGTCACACTGCACACTGAGTGGCCACTCCCCCTCTCACACTGCACACTGAGTGGCCACTCCCCCTGTCACACTACACACTGAGTGGCCACTCCCCCTGTCACACTGCACACTGAGTGGCCACTCCTCCTCCACACTGCACACTGAGTGGCCACTCCCCCTGTCACACTGCACACTGAATGGCCACTCCCCGTCACACTGCACACTGAGTGGCCACTCCTCCTCCACACTGCACACTGAGTGGCCACTCCTCCTCCACACTGCACACTGAGTGGCCACTCCCCCTCTCACACTGCACACTGAGAGGCCACTCCTCCTCCACACTGCACACTGAGTGGCCACTCCCCCTTTCACACTGCACACTGAGTGGCCACTCCTCCTCCACACTGCACACTGAGTGGCCACTCCTCCTCCACACTGCACACTGAGTGGCCACTCCCCCTCTCACACTGCACACTGAGAGGCCACTCCTCCTCCTCACTGCACACTGAGTGGCCACTCCCCCTTTCACACTGCACACTGAGTGGCCACTCCTCCTCCACACTGCACACTGAGTGGCCACTCCTCCTCCACACTGCACACTGAGTGGCCACTCCTCCTCCACACTGCACACTGAGTGGCCACTCCTCCTCCACACTGCACACTGAGTGGCCACTCCTCCTCCACACTGCACACTGAGTGGCCACTCCCCCTTTCACACTGCACACTGAGTGGCCACTCCTCCTCCACACTGCACACTGAGTGGCCACTCCCCCTTTCACACTGCACACTGAGTGGCCACTCCTCCTCCACACTGCACACTGAGTGGCCACTCTCCCTCTCACACTGCACACTGAGTGGCCACTCCTCCTCCACACTGCACACTGAGTGGCCACTCCTCCTCCACACTGCACACTGAGTGGCCACTCTCCCTTTCACACTGCACACTGAGTGGCCACTCCTCCTCCACACTGCACACTGAGTGGCCACTCCTCCTCCACACTGCACACTGAGTGGCCACTCCCCCTCTCACACTGCACACTGAGTGGCCACTCTCCCTCTCACACTGCACACTGAGTGGCCACTCCTCGTCCACGCTGCACACTGAGTGGCCACTCCCCCTCCACGCTGCACACTGAGTGGCCACTCTCCCTCTCACACTGCACACTGAGTGGCCACTCCTCCTCCACGCTGCACACTGAGTGGCCACTCTCCCTCTCACACTGCACACTGAGTGGCCACTCCTCCTCCACACTGCACACTGAGTGGCCACTCCCCAAAATAAACTTTCTGACATTAGAGGGTTGTGGTTTAAAAATATCTGAATATTATATTTTTTTCACGGCCATCATTTGTAGTAGCCAAACTGTTTGCTCAAGCGTAGCGTTTTCTCTGAGTTCACTGTGTAGCCTGCTCCCTGAATCCTGTAGTTCAATTTTCCACATTTATTGTATGTCGTTATGTCAGTATCTGCTTTCTACCATGCACAAATAAAAATGTCACTGAACCTTTGCTGTGTAATTGTAACAATGAGCACTCAAAACACACCAAACCAACAATTACTAAAAACACACACAAAAAATTATTTTGCACGGGCACTTTGCACTAGTGAATGTGTATTCTTTGGTAATGATAATTTGTTTTTTCTGCTGAAGACTTGAAGACTGAACCACCAAACAGCACACTGTACACCACAACATTGAAACCATCAGGTACCTTTTCATTCACTTCATTTAATGTGAACATTAGATTCACATTAAAGGCACATTCTACACACACACACACACACAAAATAAAATAAAATAAGATTTGCCCTTAAAGGGGTCATATAATGCCATTTTTGTACAAGCTAATATGATTCTTTAGGGTCTAAATTAAGAGTTTGTAATACTTTAATTAAAAATTCTCATTAGTATCGTAAGAAAACAGTTATTTTACCTGGTCAAAAACAGCTCTGTTTTCAGCACGCCGTTTCAGTGCATATGCCTTTAAATGATAATGAGCTTTGCTCACTCCGCCCCTCTGTTCTGTGCGTACACCGTTTATAACACAATAACCATAACGCGTTGTTCAGTATAAACGTGGGATTATGAATTATATTGAGAACGTCGTACATAGAAAACATGCCGTGATGTACCCTGAGTGTAAACCTTAGACGCATTCATCGTGAAGCATACAGCTAGCAATTTGCAAAGATATAAATATGAATATAAAGTTTAATAAAACGTTACACTCACTTCAGTTGTTCTAGAGGTTCAGCAGGAACACGAATAGCTGGTACCGATCCTTTTTTCATGAGCAGCTTCTTAGCAAAACCAGCTTTATACTGATCCTCGTTTATAAAGCAGTCTGGTGAGAAATGATTCGCGCAAACATAAAAGCATTGACGTTGCTCGTGGGGAATATTCCCTTCGAAAACAAACTCAGCCACTGCGTCTTCAGCGGTTCGGATTTAGGAACATTAAAATGACTGCTGTGTTCGTTATTACACCCAAGAACAGAACACCACAATCGCTTAGACGCCATTCTGCTCATAGACAGTGCTCCAGCGTATCAACAATGACCGCGCCGGTCCGCGCAGACTATGATTGACAGCTCGCTCACGAGCGAGGGCGGGTCTGTGTTGAAACGCGGCTGTCAATCAGCAATCGCGGGAGGGGCTTCCGAGCGTGTGACGTCACACGGTCGAACGGCTCGATTTGAGACAGGGGAAAACATATAAGGAGATTAAAACAAAAACACTGGATGGATTTTTATCATTATATGATGGTTGTGTACAGGCACTGCCAACACACATTTCAGTATAATCAACCTGACAAAGTTCATGTACCATTATATGACCCCTTTAAGCAACAGAGTAGCAAAAATACAAAATCCACTTTACTACATTGCACTGGAAAATGCTACATATACATATATCATACAGATCTTGTTTTCTTTCTTTTCCTTTCACAGTAGAAACCCGCATTCCTGGCACAGCATTGATCGCAATATCTGTGTGCTCGGCACTTGCAATCCTCTTAATTGTAGCCGCTATTTTCATCTTTAAATGTAGAAAAAAGTGTCGCTGCACTTCAGGTTAGTGTTATTGTATTTTATTATTTCTCTCTTATATATTAATCATAGGTCTACTCCAAATAAAAATGTTTTCAATGCATCACTTACTCACCCCTCATGTTATACTAACCCTATATATCTTTCTTTCCTCTTTTCCATTATAATTAATGTCAATGTGAACTAGTGTGGTAATGTTTCAAAATGACAAAACTTCATAAAAGTACTATCCAGAAACTTGGTTAAAATGACATCATTCAAAATCTATATTCATTTTATCTAATTAAATATAACACGTTTTATAAGAATTTTGTTATGATCGGAAAATTGGGTGTCTAAACTATAATCTGTCCCGTGACAAGAGGTCAGCAAAAATATACAGGATGCTCAGATTCATTGAAAATTGAGTGGGAAAACAACTTAACACAACCACATTGACGATACTGGACAAAGAACTGAACAAAACACTGGGGTTAAATACATGCGATCAAGGATAAAACGGAACAGGTGTGGGAACTAATTTACAACCAGGGAAACAAACTAGAGAACTAAAGCAGGCAAAACAGGAACAGAAGAAACACAACCAAAACTAAACATACAGTACATGTAACATGTTACAGGACAGTATTTATTTAAAAATGCATAATCAAAGAGGTACATATAAAATGAATAAATAATCATTTGACATGCTACTACCTAATCAGATTTTGCTTTTGCTCTGTTTTGCAGAAGAGCCCATCTACGCAAATAAAACAGCTTATAATTCAAGGAAATAAAAGGTCACAGGTGGGCAGAAGGATGTCAGATAATAAAACCAGATAAAGGCCCCCTAATTTGTAAAGAGGTAAAAACCCATGATGATGTCGCAGTGAATAAACTACCTCTGTTTTTTTTCTTAGAAATAAATGTGAGCGTTGCAGTGATGATGCAACACCACCCTGGTTCCCTCAACAAAAACCTAACATTTTTTGGTTTATGGTTAAGTGATTTTTTTTTTCTGTTGCTGTTCATATGTGTTAAGTGTAGATGTTGTAGATTTTTGATAGTTCACCGCTAAAATCTTTGTTTACCACTGACAGTGAAATTGTTGTGTAAAATGTCAGAACACATTTTGTATTTGTATTTGTGGTATCTATTAGCAACATAACAATTTTTTATTATTATTTTACTGTTCTGCGGGTCCCACTTTATATTAAGTGCATTTAACTATGTACTAACAACTAAATTTAAAAAAAAATCTATAATGGACTTATTGTGTTTTTTACATTGTACTTTTTGATAAAATCTGCATATAAATACATCTGTAATTAATTTCTGTAATTACATCTACAATTACCCTTCCCTTACATCTTAACCCACCCTTACACAAATACCCATACCACTAAACCTGTCCCCAACCTTCCCCGTATCCCACATCAATAGCAGCACAAGTGTTTTGCAACAGAAAATGAATTCAATCAGAACATTGTTCCTATTTGTCTAAATGTAAGTATATAGTTAAAGACTATGTGTTTGTGTATATATTTGATTTTTTTTTTTAAATTCCAGTTGATTCAATGCAAATACTTCATACTGTATGCTGAAAGAAACATGCACACTTGATATTAGGGTTTTCTATCATTGTACAACTGTTTGCAAGAGCAAATGGCTTGTTTGTCAAACTGAAAAGTCTCTAAATCTAGTGACAATGTCACCCTGGTTTCAACAGTGGTTCTGTGGTGATCTAGCAACAGTGGTTAACTGACCTCTTTATAACTATAGATAAAATGTTGTAGTTGTGTGCTCTATTAAATGTGTGCAGATTATTTTGCACCTTTAACCAACAAACTAAACAATGAATAAAACTAACAAAGTGACTAAAGACTAGTTGAGGACTTTCAGATCTGATGAAGGACCTGCTTCTGGACGCGACGACAATGCAGTCCTGAAGTGTCAACTAGCCCCTCCCCTGTGAAGGCCTCCCTCCCATATCCCTTACCTTTTCTGTTAAAACGGTGTCGTGTTAGCGGCCCCTAAGTTAATAACTAATGATCGTTGCAACGGAAGTGAATCAATCAAAACTTTAGCTGGAAAATAACTTTATTCTAGAGCTGCTATAAAACCAAAACAATCTCTGTTACTTTAATTTCCTATTATCACTGTAAAGCCGCTTTGGAACAATCCTTTGTTAAAAGCGCTATATAAATGAAGATGACTTGACTTGACTTTCAAAGAAATTTGAATACTGTATGGTGAATGTGATAGATGAGGCCAACAAGTTTGTGACATCTGTGGTGTGTTGTGGTCAAGGCTGCTATTCGGAAATTGGTGCACATGCATCTCAGTTACTGTAAACATTGATTTTTTTTTTTTTTTTTACTGTGGTGTCTTATTATTAAAGAAATCACACTTAAGTGTGTCAATACGGAAAGCATTTGACGGCTAACAAAAATACCAGTACTGTATTTGTTCATTTTTACTTTTCTATTTCTGTTGTATTTTGGTGATTGAGCAGTTTTTATAATTAGAACATTAACAGTGGTGTGGAATCACTTGAGATAGACCAAGGCAAACAGATCATGCAAAATAAAACTGAAATCTCTGGACAAAAAAATAAATGACCACATTTGTAGATTATTTTCTTCCTTTTCCATTCAGATTTGAGTAAAATTGTCAGTCCCATTTTGAACACTAGAGGTCAGACTGAGAACAGTCCTGAGCTGTGAGGTCTTTCAATTTAAATTTAAATTTGTATCAAATTAGGATTATATCCCCTGGTTTCACAGACAAGGTTTAAACCTATAGTCCCAGATTAAATGCATTATTGAGCTGTTTTAACTGAAAACAACTTGCATTGACATAATGTTAAAATATGTCAGTGCCATTGTTTAGTCTTAAGATGCACACCCGTAGGCCCTAATGTGTTTTTTAAGACACATTTATAAAATCTACTTAAATGTCCTAATTAAACTAAGGCCTTATCTTGGTTTAATCTAAGCCCTGTCTGCAAAATCGAGCCCTTGTGTATTAAACTAAGGCATACATATTAACCTCAACCAATGCTAAAGAAACTACAGTTCAGCCAAAGGTTCCATTGTGCCTGCCTGTCAGGGTTCTGTCACCTTGATTAGTTGCATTCTTGGTTTAGTCGTGACAGCAGCTTCCTGACACTCGTGTATTGTTTGTCTTATCCTTTGTGTGAATGTATGGCTTTGGGTTGTTCTCTGGGCTGTGTGCTCATATGTCTTATGGTTCTGACACTTCAGTCTTGTTTCGGTTCAGTTTCAGTGTCGGGTCCAGACATCCATGTTCCATGTACTACTCAGTCTTGTTTTTTTTTCTTCTGTTTGAGCACTTGTCTGATGAAAGTTTGTTTGTTGTGCTCTTCTACATGTCGTATGTGTTTGTGTGAACCCATGGCTTCTGTCATGTTTGTTTTCTATGTGCCTTTTGTGGCTTTTTTGTTTGTTTTTTGTGTCATGTGCCATTCTGTCAGTCTCTAGTCTTGGCCCTGCCACCTTGTTACCTGGTCATTGGTTTATTTGCCCCTCCTGGACTCTCTCACTATCTTCCTCATTGATTCCCCCTGTGTGCTCTGTCTTGTGCTTGATTGTTGTGGATGTTTTCCCTGTACAGGTTTCTGTGGTGTCCTACCAACCTTGCCCTGTTTTCCTTGCCTGTCCAGCCAGGTTCCCGTGCTTTGCTCCAGTCCTGTCACCGCCGTCCCTGGAATGTGCCGACCCGACAAGTTAAAGCCAGCTAATTTAAAGTGGGACCAAAAATGAAATGTAACATACCAATACATACTCTGTACAGTACATCAATAATGATTATTTTAAGACTTGTCTGAAAATGATTAGTAAAGACATGAATTCTAGCTTTATAAATTACAGCACAAGCTAAAATATAGTTTTATAAATGATGTGGCTGTTTAATTTGAATTTGTAGCTTCGTATTTGGGCACTGGTGCCATTTTAGTATGTGTGTGCGAGCTGAGATGCCTGTGATGCCTGACAATGCTGTCTAAGTAGGCAGCTCAATGAGTATTGAGACAGAGCCATCACGTGCTTGACGTTGGTATATGCAGTGTGTTAGTATGGGTGGAGAAAAGACCGTTTGCAGTCCAGTTGAATCAGTGTGTTGAAGAGTGTGTTGTGCATGAGAGCATGAAGGAATCTACACCACATAGAGGTATGTAACAGTCTGACCATCTTAGGTTACTTTCATATCAAACTTAAGCCTCATTTTGTTATCTAAAAGGCACTGTCAGATGCTTTTATTTTATTTGAGCATTAATAAATGATCAGTTTATTAAAAATCAAGGTCTAATATTTACTATCCTTACATTTTATTTCAATGTGTAAACATTATTTTGATTCAGATATACAGAAAATGTTTAAAAAACATGTTATATATAAAAATCAAACTACTGTTTAACTGGTCTCAGCAAATTCTGTCCATACTAAACTAAGCATATATTTATTTTTATTTATATAACCCTTGTGGAATCATTTTGACCTCTTAAAACAGATAAAGATTTATTATCATGAATGTTGTTGTTTTAGTGTAGTTATAGATGACACTGCTCAAACACACTTTAATGTGTTTTTCTGAAATATTCATTGACATCAAGACTAGAAGTCTTTGGTTCAAGAAGTCTTTGGTTTAAATATACATTCTTATTTATTTATTTTAGAAATTATAAATTCGTGAAAACTATAAAATGTCACGTAAACTCATCTTATACTTTTTTTTCCTTCTCAATACAATCCAGATCATCAAGTTAAAAAAAAAATGTTGGTAAAGAAATATGTAAGCAAAGTATATGGGTCCCTCTTTTATATTAAGTGTATTTAACATGTACTGTACTAACATTTTAATGATAGTCCACTTTAAACATTCTACTAACTAAAAGTAACTTTTCAACTACATGTCAACTAACTCTCAGAGTATTAGTAGAGTGTACTAGACTGTCAGTAGACTGTTAGGTTAGGGTTAGGTGTTACGGTTCGGGTTGGTAAGTTGACTTGTAGTTGCAAAGTTACTTATAGTTAAGAATGTCTAAAGTGGATTATTAAAATAAAGTGTTACCTTATAATGCACATCAAATCTATAAGTCTATTTTTTTTTTTTTTTTTTTTTTTTTTACATCTAATTACATTGTTGATCCTTCCTTTTTACAAATGTATACTTTCACAAATGTTCTTTTTGTCTGTAATGTGAACACAGATGGCAGCCCTTCAGTAAGATGTTGGAAACGACTCTAATCGACAGAAATCACCACCTTCACTTTCATCCCACAAGACCAACCTGGACTGTTAAATGCGCTCTCAATACAAAAGGTACAAAAGACAAAATCTTTTTTTTTTTCTTTTTTTTTTACAATTATAGCGTATAATTTGGTGCTATGGTTACTGAAATACTTCCTTTCCACTAGGCTAAAATGTTTGTGGTCTCCTTGGCAAGATGTCTATAGATCTGTATGTCTTTGGTAATGGTGTCCAGACTACAAGGTGTGTGATTTGCAGTAGTCTCATTGTTCTGTGTGCAAGTGGTTTATTTGGATTAGTCTCAGTATTGGTGTGTCTCAGGCAGGGTCTCAGCTCCAGCACATCTGGAGGCCATGGTTGAACAGCCCTTTACTCTGAGCTGTACGCTTGTCAAGGCTAAAGGAGAATCAGCCTGGTCAACAAGACAGCGTGAGCGGTCAACAACATGTGGAGCTAGCGGCCTCTCCACGGGATGCCAGTGCCATCACCATCAAACGTGTCAGCTATAGGGATGAGGGCTGTTACACTTGCATCTTTGATGTTTATCCAAGAGGCTCAAGGGAAGGACAGACCTGCCTTACTGTTACAGGTGAGTCTTGGGTGAGATATTTAGGGAAAATGCATCTACGCAACTTCTATTTGACGTGAGCATCATTACAGTGCAACAACACTGAGACTTTAATTGACGGTGGGGATTTTTCATTGACTCATTTTGCAGATTACATTGTTACACCAGTAGGTGGTGACAAGTTTGAATGAGTAAATGATTGAATTATTCACACAACTGATTAGTTGAAAAATGCTGATTTATACAGGAATTGAATCAGATGAATGTGTCATTGAATCGTTCACTAAAAACCGATTAGTTAAAAAACGCCACTTCTGTGTACAGTGTGTAGTGATTCAATTCCATTCAGTCCAATTCAATTCAATTCAATTCAAGTTTATATGTATAGTGCATAAGTTATGACAACATGTTTTTAAATTGCTTTAACTCATCAAAATAAGTTAAGCAATTTTCAACTTCTTTTTGGTATACAAGATTTAGCTCATTTTTTAAAGTCAGTTTAATGCAATTTAAGTTTAAATAATTTAAACATCCAAGTTGATTGTACTTTTTATAGGCGGCTATTGCAACTTCTGCTCGTAATAAATACAATACAAGATACAGTAAAAAATACAGGATAATTTAACAATATAAGGATAATATTTGATAGTTTTATATGTTGATCCAAAGTTGGCATCTTAAGTTGGCATCTTAAGTCTTCGCAGTTGGCTGCATGGATCCAAACTGAAGCTGGCACGAAAACAATTAGCATAGCTTCTGTTCATACTATTTCATCAGGTATAATTGTAGGACAAGTTTATGAGAAGCATTATGTGAATTCTTGGCTAGATGTATCTTTAGTCTAGATTTAAACAGAGACTGTGTCTGATCTCTGAAAATTGTCAGGAAGGCTATTCTAGAGTTCAGGAGACAAATGGGAAAAAGCTATTTGATGGTATATCCCCTGTACCATCAAAAGCCCACAGTTTTGTGACCTTTCAGAGCGCAATGGATTATAGTGTGATAGAACATCAGTTTAAAGGGGTCATATAATGCCGTTTTTGTACAAGCTAATATTATTCTTTAGGGTCTAAATTAAAAGTTTGTAATATACTTTAATTAAAAATTCTCATTAGTATTGTAAGAAAACACTTATTTTACCTGGTCAAAAACAGCTCTGTTTTCAGCACGCCGTTTCAGTGCATATGACTTTAAATGATAATGAGCTTTGCTCACCCCGCCTCTCTGTTCTGTGCGTACACCGTTTGTAACACAATAACTCAATAACCATAACGCGTTGTTCATTATGAATTGTTGGGATTATGAATTATATTGAGAACGTCATACATAGAAAACATGCCGTGATGTACCCTGAGTGTAAACCTTAGACGCATTCATTGTGAAGCATGCAGCTATGGCAGCTAGCGATTTGCAAAGATTAATATATTAATATAAAGTTTAATAAAACGTTACACTCACTTCAGTTCTTCTGGAGATTCAGCAGGAACACGAATATCTGGTACCGATCCTTTTTTCATGAGCAGCTTCTTAGCAAATCCAGCTTTATACTGATCCTTGTTTATAAAGCAGTCTGGTGTGTGAAATGATTCGCGCAAACATGAGAGCATTGACGTTGCTCGTGGGGAATATTCCCTTCGAAAACAAACTCAGCCACTGCGTCTTCAGCGGTTCGGATTTAGGAACATTAAAATGACTGCTGTGTTCGTTATTACACCCAAGAACAGAACACCACAATCGCTTAGACGCCATTCTGCTCATAGACAGTGCTCCAGCGTATCAACAATGACCGCGCCGATCCGCGCAGACTTTGATTGACAGCTCCCTCATGAGCGAGGGCGGGTCTGTGTTGAAACGCTCCTGTCAATCAACAATCGTGGGAGGGGCGTGCGAGCTTGTGACGTCACAGGCTCGAACGGCTCGATTTGAGGCAGGGGAAAACATAAAAGGAGATTAAAACAAAAACACTGGATGGATTTTTATCATTTTATGATGTTTGTGTACAGACACTGCCAACACACTTTTCAGTACAATCAACTTGTAAAAGTGCATGCACCATTATATGACCCCTTTAAGAACTTTTCACGGAAGGGTTCTTTGGTGGAGCCCAAAATGTTTATTCAATGGAATCACTGGGAAAACTATCTTTTGAATACTTAATTTTTAAGCATGTTTGGGTGGTTGAAGTTTTCATTTAAGCCTCTAATCACCTAACAACAACCAATTTTAGGAAAGATGAAGATCATGACTAGTTGGGGAGGGTTACATCCCAGCAAACACAATTGTTCAAAGAACGTTATGGTTGCTAGGTTGAGTAACAAAAATGTTATTTCTGAATATTGAACAAAACTGAACAAAGGAACACATGATGAACATGAAAACAAACTAAAAGTCCATGATAAAGAAACTAGCCTGAACATAATGTGACAGAAACATTCTATTGTATCATTTTGCAGACATTATAGGAACATTACTTTTTAATGTTCTCTGAACGTTCTGAAACAAGTTTTTTTTTTTTTATATAAATCCAAAACAATATTCCATGACCTGTTAGCTGGGTTATGACTGCCTTTAAGATACCTTTAAGATGGAAATGAATATTTGGGTTTAAATGACTGACTTATGACACACCAAAGCTTTTATTTCGCCGTCTTGAGCCTTTAAAGTGGCCTAAATTTTTGTCTTTGTGTGAAAGGTCTCAAAAGGATGTGGCTAAGTATGTAACTGTCTCAGTTACGAGTCTATTTTGATAGAAACACTTATTGTGCACAAGGTCCATCAAACATACCAACACATTCTCATCCTTTGGCGTCATATAGGTGACGCCATATGACATTTCGTCGAAATCTTACGCACATGGCATCCTTTAGCGTCAATATAACACGCACTGTTATGGGTAGGTTTAGGTCTGGGGTAGGGTACGGTTATGACGCCTTGGGATCTGCGTCTCATATTGACGCTAAAGGATGCCATGTGCGTCGGATTTAGACGAGCGTCACCTGTATGACGCCTTGGGTTCTGCGTCTCATTTTGACGCTAAAGGATGCCATGTGCGTAAGATTTCGACGAAATGTCCAAAGCGTCACATGTATGACGCCTTGGGATGAGAACGGGCTGAACATACAGTATAGGACATATTAAACATGTAATCAGTAACAATATTTGTCCACCGAAGGCGAGATGAAGTAGGGCCCATGTGCAGTTTATTTAAACACCAGCAAAGTGACATAAAATATAATCCAAAACAGACTTGACTTGACTATCGGCTTGATATAAACTTAGAGCACATGACAGGATCACATAATGGGATCAGGGAATCAGATGACAAAACCAGGAGCATAACTTTGACAATACAGAATAAAAGACATAACCTAAACATGACACAAAACCCAAAACCAAACGGGACATATTCCCCCCTCTAAAAAGGCGACTCCAGAATCCTTAGCTAAACACCCACAGCAAGGCACAAAACAGGGTGGTGGATTGGACCAGGGGGAGGGATGGAGGGCCAGGCCCATGAAGAGGATGAGAGCCTGGACAATGGAGCAGTGGTGGACCTGGACTGTGGAGCAGTGGACGAGACCATAAACAGTGAAGCAGTGGCAGACCCGGGTCGTGGGGCAGTGGACGCGACTATGGAGGATCACCTGGGCCACAGCGTCACCTGGGTGGAGCTGGCGGAGGTGATAACCACCACAGTAGAAGGTCGCCATGGTAGATTTGGTTGGTCAGGAGGCCATGGCAGACCAGACACATGAACGACCTTCATTACCGTGACTTGGAGCATAGAACTCTCTTGGGCGGCCTCCGCATCCGTGGCATGGAGCACAGAGAGTTCATGGACAGCCTCCATAGACTAAACAGAGCCTCCTTGGCCGTGATGGCAAACAGAGAGTTTAGGAAAAGAGTCTTTGGAGTTGCTGTAGTGGTCACCACTGCTTCTGATGAAGTGTATGCAGCCCACAAACACAGCATAGCAGTGGCCACTACAGGAAGTACTGTGGACAGAGGGATGATATCAAGAACCACTGGATTTTACTTGATTGCCTCTCGAACTGACCTTAACTGTGGATCCATTATACTTGTGATCGGTCTCATTCACCCCAAGACTGGTCTGTTAGAAGAGGAGGTTCGTGGTGAACCAAGCTCTACTGCCGTTGGAGTTTTGTATGTATCAAACATTAAGTATGGGACATAGACCAAGCCGCAATCAAAGAGCTAGCACCGATGAAAGCTGATTGTGTTGTCGCCTCTCGTTGGCTGTGTCTCTGCCAAAAAGCTGTGCTTAACCACACCAAAAGGACTAAAGGCGACTGTCAACTAGCATGTGCATTCTGAGCCTGTGTGCAAGTAAATATCTGTCTATCAACAGATTTCAATAGTCTATTTTCGTCATTCAAAAAGGAAAACCGTTATTAGGACTGCAGATGTACAAACCTTAAACAAAGCAGCACTTGCTTACCATTTTGAATATCAATCAAGCTGATCACTTCCTTCATTCCAGTCGGCTCATGTTATTATGAAAATATTTGTGCATTGAGTGCTCATGTAAGATGATGAAAACACCCTCTGATTGCCTGCTTCATTCGTGGAGCTAGGCGACTGAGACCCGTCAGAGTGAAAGTAGCCGTGGTCCTTAAGGGGGTAGTCGACAACACCTTTGAACCACTAGAGTCAGCGGCGGTCAAGTTTCTGACTCTAAAAATGGTTTTCTTAAAGGCTGGTCAAGTGGTGCATTGCCGCACTGGGGGTGTGTTCAGGATGTTGTTCAGACAAAGTGACCTGAAAGTATACCTGACGTCTGATGATGTCATCATCAGAGGTTATTTAAGCCAAATTATTAGCGTGTTTGCCACACGTTCACAGTATCTCCTTACCGCTTTTTCAGGGAACAGGGTTACAGTCTAGGGTAACAGTTAATAAGACACTTATAAGACCTTATAAGATGCATATAAGATGCATATAAGCATTAACTACTTCATATAAGGGTTAATTAAAGGTCCAGGCCCTGAAGAGATCAGGGAAACTACTCCCTCTTGGGAAGGTACATTTTTAAGTGACTGGGAGTTTGTGTTACCATTTATGTTTCGGCTGTTCTAAAAGTGCAATGTATTGATACTTGAGAAATGTATTATTTAATTTAATTTATTTATTATCATTAGTTAATGCTTATATGCATCTTATATGCATCTTATAAGGTCTTATAAGTGTCTTATTAACTGTTAATTACTGCTTATTACAAGCACCTTAAAATAAAGTGTTACCTTTATTTATCAATTATCATTTATCAAGCTGAATTTTCAGCATAATTTCTCCAGTCGCATGATCCTCCAGAAATCATTCTAATATGCCGATTTGCTGCTCAATAAACATTTCTTATTATCGGTGTTGACAATGGTAGTGCATCTTGATATGTTTGTGGAAACCGTGATGCATTTTTCCGAATTCTTTCATGAATAAAAAGTTCAAAATAAAGGAATTATTTAAAATAGACTTTTTTTGTAACAATGTGAAAGTTTTGATTCTCACTTTTCAATTTGATGCATTGTTGCTGCATAAAAGTATACATTTCTTTCCCTCAAAAATGATTGATCCCAAACTTTTGAACACCAGTAGACTTGTGTATTTTGAGAAAATGGAGACAAATTAAAGTTACGTAGCATCTCTGTGACGTTCAGAAGCCATAAATTATTTCTGATCAATAAAATAAAGCTTGGACTCAATATTCATCTGAAACAAAGACTACACTTTCTTAAGAGACAATTATATGCTTACGTTTATTCAGACACTTGTACATGGAATCGTTATATAAAAACATTAGAAAGACGATGTCAATCCAATCATTTTGCAAGAATTCAGGCAAGTTTCAGCACCTCCTGTACCATCACTCCAATTCCATCAAATATTTCATGTAGTGGAGCTTTGCACATGAAAGCAGAGGTGGTGACGATCTTATTTTTCTCATCAACATGAGCCTCGTTCACGTGCTTACAGATGTGCTTGCAGCCAAGCTGAGAAATAGCTTCCGCAGTGTCTGGAACATCTGGATACCTGAAAGCCAAAGATTCAGACAGTATGCCTCAGTTCTATCTTTTTATACCAATATCAAGATAATTGTGTATAAAAATACATGGTTTTGTATAACCAGAGCTCAGCCTTTTCTGTGGTTGCCGTGTTGTTTTTTTTTATTTTATGTGCCTGTTCCATCACATTTGCATCCTATTTTGCTAAATGAGGACAAATTATTTCAATGCTAATGAATGATACAGTACCATTCAGTCGGTAAGATTTTTTAAATGTTTTTGAAAGCATTCTTATACTGCATCAAAAATAATTTCTTTATAATAATCTTTCTTATTATTATGAATGTTAAAAACAGTTGTGCTGCTTTTTATTTGTGTTAAAACCATGATACATTTATTAGGATAATTTGATGAATAGAAAGTAGATAGTTAGATAGTAGATGGTATACTAAATCTGAAAACATTTTTATTACTTGAAATAATATAAATGTTAACTGAAATAAAATCAAATGTAAAAAAGCTTAGCTTTTTAACTTGATGTACTTAACTAAAACTGAAATAAAAATTTATAAAACTATATAGACATTAAAAAACTAATAAAAATGATCATTTAAATGTACTACAATTAAATGGAAAATATAAAACTAATCCAAAATATTAAAAAAATTATATTATCTCAATGATAGTAATGCACTGGTTCAAAAGAACAGCATGGAACAACAAATGGAAATATTTCTCTTTTAAAACATTATAAAATGTCTTTACTGACACTTTTAATCAGCTAATGCATCCTTGCTGAATAAAAGTATTTATTTCTTTAAAAAAGAATTTTAGAACAGTAATGTACATGCAAACTGAAGCCATAACTGGGGAGACATTTCTCTGTTTGCAGAGTTAGTTCTGTATACTAAAGTTTTAGATTTCTTCAAAATATTGTAAGTCACATAATTTCAACTTGTTTACCTATCATCTTTGTCATGGCCAACAGTAACTTCACAGCCAGGGAAAACCTTCGCTGCCAGCACAGGTGAGATGCAGCACAAGCCAATGGGCTTCTTCTCGGCATGGAAGGCCAGCAGCACTGTTTTAACCTGCTCATTGACCAAGCAGTCTTTGCCCTGGACAGCCCAGCTACACAGGTTCTTGGCTGCTCCAAAGCCACCTGCAAAATCAGTTCAAAATAATAGTAAATGAAATGTTGAGCTGAAGAGTGCATGGAAATTCTTCCAAAAGTAGCCTCAATAAGGGCAGTGTGCTAACCAGGGAAGATGATGGCATCCAGATCCTTTACATTGAGCTGCGAGAGGTCTTGGATATCACCCCGGGCAAGTCTAGCACTCTCCACGAGCACATTTCTCTTTTCCTCTGTTGGAGAGCCTTTCAAGTGATCGACAACATGCATCTGATCAGTGTTGGGTGCAAATATCTTGACCTGTGGGAAGGTTAATCCTGTTACCAAAGTCCAAGACAACGTGAAAGATCAATGCATTACATGATATTTTACAATGTAGGCTGAGAATTATTTGAAACCAGCAACACGGATGTTATAAATATACTTATACTTATAATAGTTTAGATGGACTACTTCATTGTCAACAGTAAAGACATTGCAGTGTTGCCACTAGGCATGTGCCGATAAATAGGATTGCAATACACTTTTTTTTTTTCACTTGCCATAAAATGGCTTTGGTGCTACTTTCTATTTCTGAACACTATTTAAATGTTTCAAACAGCCCTTCAATGTTTTGTATTCATAATGGTAATCATCACAGCATCAAATACTTAATAGGCTAGGCTATTTATTTTTAAACAAACATTTTTACGTTTCAATCTGGACTTCACTAGAAGTCTGCAGATATTGATTGAAAATTTTCTAATTCTTTATAATTTTTCGGTAACAATTTACAATAAGGCTCCATTGGTTAATTCATTATTTAGCATAAACTGAAAATGAAAAATACTTCTAAAGCATTTATTAATTTCAACATTTACTAATACATTGCTCAAATTAAAAGTTGTAAATTTGATGTACCTGAGCTAACATTATCAAACAATGATCAATTGTATTTTGTAACTAACGTTAACAACGAATAACTTCTGTAACAAATGTAGCTATTGCTCATTATGAATATAAGTTAAACTAATGTTAACTAATGAGACCTTATTAAGTGTTACCTATTGTTCTTTATAATTATTTAGCATTTATCTGTTTGAAACATTTGTTTACTCTATACATTTTTTTATTTGGACTGTTATGTTTTTATTGTTTTAAATGTTCAGTTCTTTTTTATTTAAGAAAAAAGTTACTAAACATTTTATAGGATGACATCACTTTGCAAATGATTTCAATATCTTGATAATACCGTATACGGTGATAAAAGCTTCAGCAATGGAATGGACTATTTGCACAACCACTTTTCGGAGAGCATAGATATACATAATAAAGGCTAGATGTCTCGTCCGCGCTGCTGGCCAATGGAGGTCGACGTCAGCACCTGGCGGCCATCTTGTCACAGGCAGCTCGCTCACTCGTAACATTGTGTTTTAATGGTGCATGTACTTTTTAAATAACCATAACCTGCTCAATTTTCTACCGATTTTCAAACGGTTTGGTTTGTTATAAACGTCAGAGATGTAGTTATGACACTGACTGCACACTTATGGATAATAAGTGTATCAATAAATAATCATCCAGAATTATAGCCACGTTAATAACGTTTGTAAGAAACCAAACCGTTTGTAAATCCATCAGGATTTCAATGAGATAAGAGTATGCGTTCGTGCTGATCACTCATCTTACATCAGGTACCACCATAGACAGTAAAAGAAATGGACACAGCGACCCCCTTGATTTCAACGGAGAGAATTGAAGCACTCATTTCCTGATAGCCAAGCGCACTGCGCAGGCTCAAACTGAGCTTGACGACGTAGATGTGACGTGAGCAACCGTTCTGACCTTCTAGTAGCTGTGCCGAGACAAATCTGAATTGAAATCTGAAACAAATCTATTGTTGAAATATTTTGTCCCGTTGCTTTAATGAACTCTCTATCTATGGGCTTCTGCCTTGACTTTACGCCTCCATGTCCACCCGATTGCCTCATAGACAGTAAAAGATTGCCTACGAGCGTCTCCTTCTGTCTATACGGTCACTTCTCTTCTGTGCGACAGAGAGTCCCGTGGTTATGACGCAATCGTTAGCCTATTTTTACAAAAACGGCTTCTACGGGGCCATAACGTAAGATACAAGTTAATGGAGCCTTTTATACATTGTCCTGTTTCTTAAGAAATAAACAATGGACAAATGGAGTCTTTGGACGCCTCAGATGTAAAGTTATTCGCTGTCAATGTGACGCCAAAATTAATGGGAGTCAATGGAATGCTAACAGCAGGTGATAGTCTGCCATAGATATATACACCAGATGTCGCCTTGGGGTTCTAAGCATGCGTCAAAACCGCCGCCATCTTGGAACAGGGGTCTTGTCGTAGGAAGTGGCTAGGTAATGCTGCTATCTCCGCCTGTACTTCGAATTCTTGGATTTTCTGACTTTTGTGCTGCGTATGGATGTTCACACGAACGAAATCTGAACTAGGAAGAATGTTTTAAAAAAAGAATTTTTTTTTTTTTCTTTCTCTGGACTCAATGATAAATACATGTCTGACCATTGGAAAGAACCAAAAAAAAAACCTAGAAAATCGCATTCATGACGATTTATGGTGATTTTATTTCCGTTAGACCTTTGCCTACATTGACGCTTATGCATTAAAGAGGAGGGGCTTCCCTGTTCCATGATGGCGGCTCTATTGACGCATTCGTTCCAATGAACTGCCGTAGCCAAGGCGACATCTAGTGTATAAATCTATGATAGTCTGCTACAATGGCGGCCCCCAAGTGAAGCTTCAGTTTCCGGCTGGTGGATTACCCCCTTGGGTACCACAGAGCCCGCCAGAAAGCTTGCCTGTGACAAGATGGCCGCCGGTGATGACGATAGAGACTCCGCCGTAAGACATCTAGCCTTTATTATGGATACCTATGTCGGAGAGTACCGCTATGGGGAGTACATATCGGCAGTTTCCGGTTAGAGCGTTCAGCGCATAGACATTTATTATGTCTATGGTTCAGCACACCTACATACATGAGAATGCAGATTATCACTACGTTTTATGGATGCCAATTGATTAAAACAATGAATAATGATTTCTGTATTAATTATCTTGAGCCTGCTGAAATACATTTTCTTTCCAACTGTGCATTCTGAATAATAAATAGGCTAAATATATTTATCCACTAACCTGCAGCAGTCTTCTCATTAACAGTGTTTTTCTCTTACTGATATTTCATACCTGTTGAGTTTACTTTTTTTTTTACGAATTTGACTAATAAAAAGGATTGCTTGTGCGTTGGTGCTTTATTCCAGTCTTTTAAAATAGTTGAATGAAAGAATGCTCAAGGTGCCTGTAACGATGTTAAATAGGCTGATGTTAAGGCTATTTAATTCATCTTAAACATTAATGTTTAATATGCACAGCATAGAGGAGAATGACAGTCAAATACTTTGAATATTAATTAAGCATTTTGGGCATAAACATGTAAATAGTAAAAAAAACATTGAAAATGACAGAATGATTAAAATATTTAATCCAAATAAATAAATGTTCATGGTTCGTACTGATGTTATTCATCTGTTCTCATTCACTTCAGCGTCGCGGTCACTAGTTTAGACGAACACTGACACCCTGTGGTGAAATAATGGCGTATTTTTAACAGCCGCAGCTTTTTCAGATAGGCTTGGTTTGGATTAAAACTTCATGTTCTGATGAGTTTGGAAAATTCTGCACACAGTAAACATCAGAATATCCCTTCTCCTGTCAATAAAAATGTCCAAATTTTTAAATCTTATTGCGGGCACTCATTTTAGTTGACGTTTGTTCAACTTATTGACCACAGTACATTGAAAGTAAACATAACCAGAAATAAGTGAGATGTAGTATTTACAAACGGAAGTGGGTCACGAAGCTCAGTGCAAGTGGTCCATTATCGTGATATGAAATGTTGTTACTGTCACATGACTAATTACCACCAATCCGGTTGTTAAGTCGTGACGTAACCACTCTCCGATAATACTGTTTCCGGGTCCAAAGGCCGGGTCCTCTCTACCTACCTACCGCTTTCGCCCGAGTTTTAACGTGTTCCCGTGTTGTTTAAATAGATCGGAGTTAAAAAACAAGTGACATTCAACTGTCATTCTACCGCTTTCCCTGTGACGAGAAAGATAAGAGAAAATGGCTGCAGTTGATAAGGTAAGTTACAAATCTTAAACGAATGAAGAAACTTTGGCGCCAGTGGGTGCTATCCCTTAATCCCTAGTAACACCCACTGGCACTGAAGCGAAAAAAGCCCTTAAGAAAAGGGTTTCCCTTTCGAGAGGTTCCTCCTATTGCGTAATAGCTTTACGCTATGGGAAAACTCCTTTTCTCGAGAAATATTGAAGTCTTTATGTAAAACGCATTGCAGCTGCACAGCATACAGCAATGAGCGAGGCAGCTCGGTCATTGGCTGTGCTGCGGCAACTTGCACGAACCAATGACGGGGCGACTCTGAACCCGCTTCCAATGAGCGTGCTTCGCGCCCACGCGCGTCAGAGCCCGCCAAGATGGGCGTGGCCAAGGGCTATATATTGGGCGCCTCGTCGTCTGAGTTCTTTAGATTTAATCTCCTTCAGCAAAGAACCTTCTCTTCGCTGGATCCTCCGGATTTGTTGGAGTCTTTTCGCCGCCGCCGTCGACAAGCCTACAGCAGGACTGCTTCGAGGACGCCGGCGCCTTCAGCCGCCTTCGATCGCCCTTCTGCTAAGCCATCCGGCGCGCACCATCTATATCCTTTTACAAAGCTGTCAGTGTTCGCCCCCGCGACACTTTTTCTAAAAGAGTCAAATTTCCAAGGCGTTGTTTCAAATGCCTTCCTGCGCCTCGTGTCGAGGCCCTCTTCAGGACGGGGATCGTCACATCATCTGCGCCCGCTGCTTGGGACCGGACCACGCAGAGGCTGCCCTTACTCGAGGCGGATGTCCCGAGTGTGACGCCCTGGGCCTCACCGAGCTGCGCGCTCGCTTCGCCGTTTTCACCGCGAAAGAGCCCACCTCTTCCGTGCTGCCATCTCCTCTAGTCGAGCCGCGAAAGAAAAAACGCCGCTCACAGAGGCTGCCGGAGCACGCGCGTTTGCAGTGATGTCACGCCGGGCCAATCCCCGCGTGCTTCACCACCACCCGAAGACTCCCCGCCGCCAGTCCAGTTCACACAGGCGGACCAGCACCCCTCCAGCGGAGCGATGGGGCTCGTCTCGTTTGGCGCGTCAGGGGATGACGATGATAAGGATGACAGTTTTTCCTGTGATGCTGCATCCGACGATTGGCCGGGCTCGTCCTTCGACCCCG